GGCAGGAACTCCGACAAGCCGTAATTTTAATTGTACTGCGGCCTGAAATACCCAAATGGATATTTCAGGCTGTAATACTGCGGGGGTAGAAGTTTGGAGTAGAGCCAAAAATTAAATATATTTTTTTAATTTAAATTATCCTTACATACATACAGCCCTGCCTGTGACTGTACTGCATGCTACTGTTTGTACTATCACATGCCTTTCAAAAAATTCTTGAGTCCGTCGGGAGCACCTGTGAATCTGTCCGGAGTGCTGTGGTGATTTTAGTCCTCACCACTGATTGACTGTTACTAATATTATGTTTTAAATTTCATTTGATTTGATAATTATTAATTTTGAGTGAAGTTTCGAGAACAGACATCACAGCAGTCAGGGCATTTCCATATCATGCCATATGTTTTCTGTTCTTATCTTCAGCAGCCATTGAAGAATTCCAACTCTGATGGTACAGTTGCAGTCTGTTTGTATGTATGTCCATCTCCGTCTTGCCTTTCCTCTGGGTATGAAGATCTCCCTGGTTACTCCCCTTTGCACAATTTGTTTAAGTCAGTGATAATCTTATCGTGTCCTTTCACTTTTCACTCGTTACCAAAGGATCTTGACAGTATTTAGCTTGTCATGCATCAGTTTACCACTGAGTGGTGCAAAACCAGCCAGTCTATCTGCCTATTCATTTCTCAACACACCTGCATCACCTGGAAAAAATATTTAAAAAATGCTAAGTATTCCAGATCTCTAATGCGATGCATGCAACTCTGCTCTGAGCACACCTGTCTCCACCTTTCTCAGCATGCTTTGCGAATCACTTTAATCACACCATGTGTGTACAGCTGATTTTCAGACTAAATGAAAGCTGCAGTGACTGCCTCTAACCTCCATTCTTAAACTAGATTAGTGTTTCCCAAAATGGAGCCAGGGCAGTTTGATTGTTAAAAAAAAGGGGAAGGGGTGTCAATTTGAAAATGGACTCATCCAGAGTTAAAGTTAACTGTATTGCAACTCTCTGTTGCTGCTCGAGCTGGGTAAATGTCCAGTTAGGCATCTTTTGTCTGCTGTGTTTGTAGCAATAATTTCACTATTATAAACTAAGAGCTGTCATAGTTAAAACCATCTGTGTCAGAATAGATAACCCTAACTCACATTATGGCCACCAGAGTATACCGGGAAACATAAGATAAATTCTGCTATGTTCATTCTGTACTCAGGTCAAACTGGTCCAAGCTAGCCTTAGTATATTAGAGTAGAGGAGACAAGAGGGCCCCAACAAGATGAAAACCTACCTTCCTTGTTGTGATACTATCAGCCAGCATAAGATAGCTGCAATTTGAAACATAGTCACCTTATTTTAATGTTCTTAAACATGTTTGCCATTATAATGAAACTACGGTTTCTATATTAGAATATTATGGAGTAATAGGAAATAGGATTATAATAAATATAAAGTACTTGAGGGAGCATAAGAATTTTAGAAAGGCTTAGGTAAGACACGGCACAAAAACAGGTTGGGAAACACTGAACTAGATGTTGTGATATCATCAGTCAATCAGGTGCCGCATCCACAGTGAATGTTGGCTGTAATGGATCTCCAACACGCTCTGTCTCTAGTCCTGGTTGTCTCTCAGACTGTTGCCCATCCATCTCTTGATCTCACTTATATCGTTGCCTACCTCTTGTTCTCTTGCCTTTGATCTTTCCCTCCAGTATGGTTTTTAAAAGTGTGTTATGTCTTTTAATGTAGCCGAAGTATTTCAATTGCCTCTTTTTTTATTTCTTTCAGTAATTCTCTTTTTATTTGTAGTCTTTCCAGAACCTCTGTGTCAGATTGTTTTTTTGTGTGGTTTTGTTTCCATGAAATACTACTTATTCTTCTGTATACCCAATCTCCAGGGACTCAGTTCAATTTTCTAGCTGCTTGTTCATTGTCTTACTTTCTGCACTATATATCAGGACCGAATATACATAACATTTGGTTTTTTTGTGTGGTTTTGTTTCCATGAAATACTACTTATTCTTCTGTATACCCAATCTCCAGGGACTCAGTTCAATTTTCTAGCTGCTTGTTCATTGTCTTACTTTCTGCACTATATATCAGGACCGAATATACATAACATTTGACGATTCTAATTTTCAGTGTGTTGTTTATCTCTCTAGCTGTCAATAACTTGTGCATCTTATTAAAGGCAGTTTTAGCCATTCCTATTCTCCTTTTGATTTCTGTTTTGCTTCTTCCATCATCTGTTTTTCGAATGTTAATGTCTAAGCCATACTCTGCACTCCACCTCTTGACTTGATCAGCTAGTTGTTATAACTCCTGCTCACCTTTTGTTAGTAGCATTGTGTCATCCGCATATCTCAGATTGTTTATTGTTTTTCTATTAATATTCAGTCCAGGCAATTCCTCAACCTGTTTAAATATGTCTTCTGTATATAAATTGAAAAGGCTTGGGGATAACACACATCCCTGTTTATAATATATATATGAAATCATATTCCATGCTTTATTATGATAAGAGTCGTCCATTTGCTTTTGCTATGAACCCCCATACACTTCTTTTGCCTCTCAAAATGTTAAGGCCATCACTATAGATAACCACATCACCTGTGTGGGAAATGTCATGAATCATTTGTAGAACGTTTGATTCTGCAACGCCTTTTGGTTATTCTCTGCAATCCTGACTGCATTTCTTAAGAGTTGTCAGTTTAGTATGCTAGTTTTGGTCAGAAAAAATGAACAAAAAGAAAGACAATGATAGCTGCTTTGTAAAAAAAACCAATCATGATTGCATTTGTTTCAAAGAGGCTAAGTTTTTTTAAAGTAGAAAATATGTAATGTATACAAATGTGGCCAGTTAGAGAGACCAGATTTCTGTAACAAAAGACAACAAATTAAATATTATAATTATGCAATTGGTAGGACTCACAAGGGAATGACCAAATCCAGCATGGGATTGAAATATTTGAGGTCTCAAGATAATAATTTGTCATTTACTAACTGGCAGATATTTTGATAAAATCCCTAACAGTTGTAAAAGATGCCAGGAAATAATACATACTTTATATTTAGACCCTGCATCAGCATGCTTTCTGAGTTATGAGTTAGGATTATCTTCACAGCACTCCGGACACTTCCATAAGTGCTCAGATTCCCCTCTCAACATATTCATCAGCTCCGCACGGTTTATAGTGCTAGTCCTGTGTTGGTTAACGAGACTTTGTGTGCGTCAGGTGTGCTTCTCTTGCTTGGCTGTGCCGATCTTTACTCCAAGCTCTTGTATTCTTTGCAGTGATGTGGACACGTTGCTTCCAAAATCCTCAGAAGGTCCTATCTCTCTAAGGGCAATGACAATGTCTGCGTAATCCATGGGCCGGCCATCTTCACTTAATGCAGCACCTACCCGTCTATCAGCTCTCTCATTACCAACAACGTCTGCATACCCTGGGATGAATATGAAGGTAACTACACACAGGAGAGTTTTGCAATGACTCAAACCACTGTCTGCATAACCAGCCTGCCTTGACCCGCCAGATCATGCTCAAAGAATCACTTAGCACAGACATGCAGGAATAGTTCTGTGATTCTAGCCACATGAAAGCTTGTGTCACCACCATCACCTCCATCGTCATGCTGCTGGTAGTCATGGAGAAGGCGCTGCTGGCTTCTTAAACTCTTCTACCTGAAGAGCAAGCTGTAAATGCCCATGCACTCTTATGTCCTCGTATAACGGACCCGTCTGAAGATCACCACATCTGACTTGTCACTAATACGTATGCATACCTCGACATCAACAGCAGCTGGATTCTACTATTAGCCATGGGGTTCATACTGAGGAGAGGATCTGAGCACCCATGGACATGTCCGGAGTGCAATGATGATAACCCAACTAACTAACTAACTAAGCAGCTGAATTCTGCTCCCGACAACTTCTATCGAGCGTCACAACACAGGAGAATGTGAGATTGGGTGCTTTAGAGGCTGATACCCATTCCTCACCTGGATGGATATCTGAAAGGCTTCAAACATGCATGGTCATCCTCTGCCCTACCCAGCCATGATTTGCCCCTTTTAAGCCTATTGCCATTTTTCTTGAAGAGCATGTGGTGCAAAGGGAGTTTCAGATCAGAGCTTATCTTGTGGTATAAAAGAGCCCTCCAGATCTTGATCCTGTAGTTCATGGTAGGGAAGTCAAGAAAGTACCTCATTTCTACACAAGAGATGTCTCCAGGGCACCCTTGAATAATGCACATTGCTTCATTTTGTACCTCCTCAAGTCTTTCAATCTGAGAAGCAGTCTCTGCTCAGTGTTAGCAGCGACCAGGACCCTCATTGCTGACAGGCCTTTGTGTGCTTTTGTTATAACAAAGTCAGCATGCTTTCTGTCCAGGTTTGTGTCAAGCAACTGTCCAGGTCTGTGTCAAGCAAACCCAGTTTGCAATTCTGTTATAAATGTCCTATTCACACAATAATTTGTGATTTGGATTTAGCATATTAAATATTTACCATAAATTTGGTAGTTGCCATTTATGTGGTCTGTTTAGTCTTTTTTTAAAGTAATGCATTCGTGATATTTTTCATAGTTGTAGTGTTAAGACAACCTTTCAGTATTTACTGGGAAACTTTCCATTACTTAAAAGTTTTAAGAAAAATAATGAGCATATTTGATGAACTGTCTTTGATCGACAGCAAAATAATTTGTACAAGCTGCTCAACATCGCTCAGTTACATTAACCCGGTAAGCAAATGCCTGATGAAGTCGGATGTGTCAGCAGTATAGTGCAAATATCAAAGCTTTGCTGTAAACAGACACACATAATTACATAACTCGGACAGATTAAAATAAGAATAGCCACTTACAACAGGTCAGATAATGTAACCTTGTGTAACACTACTGGACCACTAAAGCTGCCCATGTTGTACTGTTTATTTGATGTCATTTGTCTTTTCACAGAAATGAAAGTAGGTTTGACATCAAGAAAAGATCAAGCCTGGAAAAGTAAATATGGCCGATCATTCTGCAAGAGCATGTCCATATGATCGTGCTAATATATTCTCAAAGATCACATTTTGGTGAGCTGGATTTTGTCACCCATTTTAATGTATTTTTTAATTTCAGCAGTGCATCATAACTTTATACTTGTTTGATAACATAACTGTGTTTAGAAAAAAAAATCTAGTTGCTATCCTTTTTAAAAAAAAAACGTGCATAAGATAGAGTCACTTAAAATGCCTTGAGGAAGCAGACACAGTGGAACTATCCAGGGAATTTAACAACAGACCTGTTCCTATGCCTGAAAAAGATCACGAAAAAGAAATGGCTACAGAATATTATCACACTTCAGAACACCATAGAAAAACTTATGGGAAAAAATTAAAGTTGACCTAAACATTAGAGTCAAGTGGTCTTTTGGCACCTACACTAGGCACCTACACTGCCTGGGCAGAGATACCTGCTGCAGTTTTGGTGTATTGGCTTATGAGGGCTTCCAGGTGGAAATGGAAACTGCTGCAGCCGCCATTGACTCTGAAGACGCACAACAGCGTTCCGTGCAACATGCTAATCAGATTGATGATTGACATGCACCTAGAGATGAAATGGGTCAATTGGACAGCGCTCTTCCATAGAACAATGTTAATGTGGTGCGGTACATGGGCATTGAAACCTCAATGTGTTTTAAGGGGCTTACCCCAGGGATCACCGTTGTCTCCCGCTCTTTTGAATCCTACGAGTAGTAGGTCTAGGGCAGGACAGTGTTGTTCACAGACAATGTCCTTGTGTGCGGATGAGGAAACATCAGAGATGAAATTACATTGCTACAGCATGAATTAGACTGACTCAGTGAGTGGTGCCAGGAATCAAGCGCATAGGTAAACTCGACAGAGGCTTCCTAAACATGATTCTTCTTGAATGTCCAACTGTCGGTACACCTTCGCCTGCACATTTGTAGTCTAGACATCGATAGAATGAACATGATGAGATACCTTGGAATAACTTTACCAGATGCTTGTCATACAAGAATAGCATAGACAGTGTCATAGTTAAAGCCAGAAAAGGTTTAATGGTGCTGAAGGTGATGGCATACGCCGACAAAGCACAATGCCTACTTTTCCTTCTCGGTCAGGGACTTGGACTAAGTGTTATAGACTACGGTCTAGGCTTCACCACTGTCAGCAGAACCTAAATAGAAAGACTGGACCAGGTGCAAAATAAAGCCATGAGACTCACACTTTGATGCACAAAAGACACTTTGTGTCACATGAAAAGATGTTGATTATGATAACATGATATAACATAATATTTATAATAAATCATTTTGTCCAGTTTGACCGCGATGTGAATTTCTCATAATTAGTTTTTTTTTACAGTTGTTGTAGATATTGCATGTTTGTAATTAATCTTAATTTTTTTCATTTCCTTGCAAGAATATAATAACTTATTCTCTATAATTGGCTAAAATATTTTAGGTGGATGAATGCCTTGTTCAAACTAGGCTCAAGCAATCATTTGACATATTTAAATGTATGTGATGTTTCAAGTAATGATGAATCAAGTCTTCTTCATTCAAAACTTGAAAGGTCAGTTAACATTGTTTTCAGTGAGAATTGTTAGCACCTAATTTAATAAAAAAAAAAAAAAAGTACACTAAAAGTGAATATTTTTTGTTCTCACACTATGCTGTAACGCTTTTTAGTGTACCTTCTTGCAGTCTGTCTGTCATTTTCCTGGTCACCCTCAGACTATGTCTATATCCTTTTTAGTCCTATGCTTTTCTTCAGACCCACCCACACATGACTACAGGTAACTTAACAGCCATTTTGTGGTGCCCTAGTATAACTGTGCTATTTGGCTATACAGCGGCGTCCGTGGCTAAGGCGTTGCGGGTCTGACCCGTAATCCAACGTACCGCGATCAAAACCTGCGTTGGCTACGTGGATTTTTATCGTGGTATGGGACGTCGCAGGTCGACCCTGCCTCAAATGGGTACCAGGATGGGCTGTCCTGAGAAAGTAAAGACGGCCGGCGTAATGCTGACCACATTACCCACCGAGTGCCGATTGGTCTGTAAAAATATGGGTGCTCTTCCCATATGCCCGATGCGCCTAAGGGTGTGTAAAGGGATCTTTACTTTTTTTATTTTTACTTATATGGCTATACGGCTGAACAGGATTTCTAGGATTTGTACCTGTTTGATTCTCATCCTTGGGATGTTAATCCTACAGAATGCAATATTGAAGGGGAAAACATACAAATGAATGCATCTTATGTTAAATATTTATTTCTATGATCTACAGTTGTTTACTAATTTATTCTGACTGTTTTAAAATGTAGGTACTGGAAAGAAGAAGTTCAAAAATATTCGGAAGGTGGCAAGGCTAGTCTTCTTCGAGCTGTCCTCAAATCATTCATGTGGCAGTGGATTACACCAGGACTTTTAGTTTGTAGCTTTGTAAGTAGCTTTGTACAGTGTCCTTATTAGGCATAATAATTATCACAGATGTTAGGTTATTTTTTATTTTTATTTTTCTATTTTTTGTTGTTGATGTTTTTTTTTGTTAAATACAAATTATAATGGTCTACCTTTATAGATTAATTTATAACTTTTCTTTTAATGTTGGCATTTCTTTCTTAGATTTACTTATGCCTTTCATATATAGACTTATTTGCCTAGAACAGTTATAGTTTATTTGCATGCATTCATTAAGGAACCGTTAAAATTAGTTTGTGGTGATCAAAGATTTTTGAACTTCCAAATCAGTGACACAATCGCAACAGACATCATTCAAGTAAATTCATTCACAACAGACCACACCTAAATAAAGTTAACAGCAGTCTAAAACAGGAAAGACGAAAAAAGACCTTGCGTAGAACCATCATCCATAGGCCAAACAAACACCCAAGACCTAAAACAGGTGACAATGAAATGCCAGACATGGAGAGCTATGACCTCTGCCCTATGCGTCTCCCTAGGCTCAGGAGGAAAGATGAACTAAGTCTAAACATAAATAGCAAAGTTTGTCAAACAAAATGAATAATATAGATATTATTGTTATTTTCAGGAAAGTATCAAACTGGTGCAGCCGTACCTCATTGGCTTGTTGGTGTCATATTTAAATGATGATGCTGGTGCAGTGCCTTTGGAGATAGCTTACGGCATTGGTGGTTGCTTAGGACTGAGTGCCGTTCTGCAGATTTGTCTCAACCCAACTTACTTCTTCGTCATGCAGCATGTGGCCATGAGAATGAAAGTCGCTGTCGGGGCTCTTATTTACAGAAAAGTGAGGTTAACCTAAACATCTTTATATTTTCTATATGTTTATATTCTACAATACAAGCATACAATGGGAACATGATGAAATGAAATTCATATGTTTAAATTACCACTCACTACTAAAATCATGAGGACTAATAGCCTGAATGCTAGGGGCATATTGAGAGAATATCAGATGACCGAGAAGTAAAAACTGTGAACACAAGAGAATTGAATTATCGCAGACCACAAGACAGAACAAGAAGGTGATGGTGTGATAACATCCAGGCAGACATACAAAGACTTGGCGCCACCAACTGGAAAGAGAAGGCCAGCCAGAGAGATGAATGAAGGGGGGAGATATCTGCAGCAGTGAACCTCAGTGGCTCAGAATGATGAAGAAGAGGAAATGCAGACAATACGAGCACTTTTATTTGCATTTTCCTCTGATGGAGTGAAGCTAACCTGATGATGTCTGATTCTATTTTTATTTGTTCTGGGAGTTGGGAGACACACACATACACATCATGATTGTAACTGATTCAGAAAGCATGCTGAGGAAGATCAGAACAGGTATGCTTCGTGCAGAGTGGCATGCTTTGCTGCGGAGGACATGAGTGAGGAGTATTGTCTGGATTTTTTCACCGGGAAACGCTGGTGTGTTGGGAAATGAACAGGCGGACAGACTGTCTGGCACTGCACAACTTGGTGGAATACTGCTACATGATAGGACAGACATGGTTAGTGCCTTGTGGGAGAGCGTGTACAATTCGGAGGAGCAGATGGATCACCACAGTCTGGTGAGATTGATGCAGTTGGGGGTGACGAGAGGTTCTGGCAGATGCCCGAGGCTCAGAGGAAAGGCAAGACGGACGTTTAATCAGAAAGCTGCTGGCACCATTAGTATCGGAACTCTTCGCTGGCTGCTGAAGATGGGGACGGAGCGCTTATGGGAATGCCCTGAGTGCCGTGATGTCGGTTCTTGAATCAAATAAAATCAAATCAATTTGTTCTGTGGGTATTTGAGTTTCAGTCTGTGATGACATGAGGCTTACCTATTGATTAAAAATTTTCCCCTTATTGTGGGGGGAGTAGGGGACCTGAGGGGGGTAGGCAGAAGGAAAATAGACTGAGTACCCCTTAACAGTTAGTTTTTGTGCCCCTAAACAAGCAGGTCGCAAAAGGTAACTAATGCAGAATTTGGATTTGTTGCATTGGGTTGAAAGGCACAGATATCACAGCCCAACTGTAAACCACAACACAGTGTAAAAACTGCTCTCTTAAGAGTAAATGCAGCAGGAGAAGATATTACACTTACTATATATTGTTGTTCTGCACATTTAAATTTCTGGTTTGATGAAATGAGGCTCAACTATTGATGTTAAAAAGACATAATATGTTTATTTTCTGTGAGAGGTTTTCAAAAAGTTAAGCACTTTAGTATGAAGTCATCAGGATTATTGTAAACTTTAGTTTTTCTTTGTGTATGTTTTCATCTCTCATGATGACACACTAAATGTAATAGAGACTGCCCTTGACTTTAGTCAATCTGGTGGATTGATTGGCTTAATGAGCTTTAAGATTTGGATTATTTCAAAACTGGGATTTGATGAGATCAAAGTCAGACTGTTGATGCTGTGGCCATATAAAAAGAAAGGTTCCTTGTCATGGAGATTAAGTTACAGAGAGCAGCTAGATGTTTGTCTGCCGACCTGAAGGTTCAGGATCAGAGTTACATTGTTGTGGAGGTTTATTAGTGACCTTGACTCCCAGGCTGACACAGTGTCATGAGAAATGTCCTGTGAAGTAAAGGAAGCCAGAATGATGTTGACTACATCACCCATTAAGTGCTGCTTTTTTCTTGAACCGAATGGGTCTGGTGCCATATGTCCATTGCATCAATTGTTTGAGATAATGTCTTTTACTTACTTGCATACTTCCAGTTCAGTATGGCAGAAAGGCAGACTAAAATAATCTTAGATGAAAGCTCTGCCTAATTCTGAAATGAAATTCTGCAAATTCATTGACTGTTTGCCAATTTGCACCAAGAACGTCTTATGCAGAATGACTGAACTGTCAGACTCAAAAAGCCACAAAAATGATCTTTTCCCAAATCGTGCACATCAAAAAATACAACCCGGTAAAGTCAGGGATTGCATTGTGAAATGATTTTCACTAAACTCTAAGCCACAGAGCTGTACTGGACACAATCTGCACTAGCCGACACATCTAACAATACAAACCTGAGGCACATACATGAAAGAGTTTACCCTATCTAATGTAACATAACACACCTACCTCTGATGCCACTCACTGCGGCAAGCAAAATGTCATCTTCTAGTTTTGATATTTTTTTAAATGGCAGTTCATTAGAGTTATCTTTTTTTTTTTTTTTTTTTTTTTTGGAATGAAAATGTTAGTAAGATCAACAAATTACTCTTTGTAGATGACCAGGCCTTGATAGCAGATACAGCCATGAAATTGCAACAACGTCTAACATCCATGAATGAAGAATGTAAAACAAATAATATGAGAATCAACACTGAAAAGACAGAAGTAATGTCAATAGGAAAAAAGAAGACAGATCTAAACATAGCAATAGAGTGCAAAGGCATTAAACAGGCATCTGAGTTTAAATATCTTGGAACTACATTTACCGAAGATGGAAAATTGGATAAAGAAATTAACTTTAGATGCAGTAAAGCAAACCAAGTATGGGACAGCTAGTCCCCCTCTTACAGCATAAGACAATCCCAATCAGCACAAAGAGACATCTTATTCAAAGCATATTTATTCCAACTCTGTGCTACCAGTGCCAGACATGGTCACTTACAACAAACCATAAAAGAAAATTAGTAACCACGGAAATGAGATGTCTGAGAAGGGCTGTAGGAGTGACCATAAGAGATAAGATCAGGAATGAGATCATAAGAGAAAAAGTCGGCACAAAACCAATTCTGGATTACATACGAAGACAGCAGGTGAAATGGTTTGCCCACTTAGAGAGAATGCCATGTGACACCATACCATACAAAGCATACATAGAAAGAGAAGAAGGACGTAGAGCACGGGGTAGACCAAGAACAATATGGAAGGATAACATCAGAGAAACTCTACAACAGCACGATGTGCCTATGGTCGAGGCGGCCAGAAGAGCTAGAAACAGAACCTTATATCTCCCTCGACACCCACAGCAGTAAAAGAGGAAGTGAAGAAGAAGAAGTTCATAAGAATTATCAAAGTCACAGTCATGAAACTGTTCAGAAATATCTTCAAGTTCACTTTCTGATTTAATGAAGACAATATTCTGTAGCATCAGGAATATTCCCCAAGCTCTTTCCACCATGACAACCCTAACGATCAGCCATCATTATCAAAACATTTGTTTATAGTAATAGAGCAGTTTAGATACCCTGTTTCATTGAACTTGGAACTATCACTAGCATCTGCTTAATTACTCATGCAAATATATGAAGGTTAATTACATAATAATATCATTTATTCAATTTATTCTATATTTAGGTTCTCTCACTAAGTTCAGAGGCATTCCAGACTACCTCAGCTGGTCAGATTGTGAATCTTCTGTCCACAGACATTGAGAAGTTTAATTCAGTATGTTCACTTCCTAATACTTATATGTTGATACCATTATTTCACAGACCTTTTTTAGCAAATATAATTTGAATGTCATAGAAATGATGAGTATTTGAAACTTGTTTCCTTAAAGATGCCTAGAGATTGCAGTAATATGGATTTCTGACTTCGTGCATTTGATCAAATCTGGAATTTGTAAAAAGTGTTCACTAAGAGTTTATTGGTGGGCACAATATAAACAATTTACGTTATACTGATGACACAGTCTTGATAGCAACAAGTTAGAAAGAACTACAGGAAATGATAGACATTGTGGTGTTAGAAAGTGGAAGAATGGGCCTCAGTTTGAATATGGGGAAAACAGAAGTAATGGGGGTATCAAAGAAACGAATTATTCCTAAATGTGTAATAAAAGTTGATGGTGTTATTTTAGGACAAGTACAGAAATTTAAGTATCTGGGCACATGGATAACATCAGTTGGAAGATGCATAACTGAGATAAGAAACAGAATAGGACAGGAAACAACTGTATTTTATAAAATGAAAAACATCTTGTGCAATATATCCTTGTCATTGAGAGTTAGAAAAAGAATTATTGCTTGCTACATACATCCGGTTTTAACATATGGCTGTGAATCCTGGACAATTGGTAAGCAGGCCTAACAATTTCTAGAGGTGGTTTTACAGAAGAATGCTTAGAATTCCTTGGACAGTCAAAAAGAGCAACCAGGAGGTTTTGAAAGAGGCGGAAGCCCAAAGACAACGTATCACAGACATCAGAAGGAGACAGTCATAATTTTTCAGCCATGTTAAGAGAAGAGGGAAAATAGAACATGTTGTGACCACAGGAAAGATCTGTGGAAGGAGGGATAGAGGAAGACAACGAGAGAAGATGCTTGACAGCCTTGTTGCGTGGCATGGAGGTGTGTCGACACAGGAACTGATACATGCTGCAGGAGATCGCAGATTATGGAGAGGCATGATCGCCTACGCCAGTCTGCAAGGCACCTGATGATGATGAAGAGTTTTTGGAAGTAGAAAAAAAATGGTACATAGTGGAAATTAAGGAAGTAGTGGGAGTAAACAAACATATTAACAAAATTATATATATTTTATGTTTTTTGTTCCTGGTGAAATATTTGATACACTTTAAATTACTTGTCAAGCATTAAATCATTGCTACAACGTGTTGTATAATAAGATTGTTCTATACATTCACTAATCCATGATCCAGGTTGATTTGGGATGGTGATCACTGATTTTAATATATCTTTAGAGATGCTATCTTTAGTGTTTCTGTTGCTAAACATATTTGTTATATCAAGACATTTTCTGTCTTCTAAAGTTACATTTTTAATCATGGGATCTTTCCCCATTAATTATTAAAAATCTTTCTTTTATTTTCTTCTAAAACCGATAGATCTTCTGTGAGGTCTAATTCTGTTCTGATCTTAAAAGTTCTTCAGTTCTCATATGTTCTTAATTTCTTTTAATTAACGTGATGTTTCTTCAGTGGTGTGAGATATTTTTTATAGACCAGTCTGCTCTCGGTGAGTGATGTGGTCAGTATTACGCTGGCTCTCTTTACTTCTCAGGATATTGCCTGGTACCCATTTTAGGCTAGGTCGGTTTTGAAGAAAAAAATCAGACTTGGTGCAAATTTGAGTCCAAGACTTTCAGGCCAGCAGACAAGTATCTAGCCACTATGTTACCATGGCTCCAATAAATATCTTTTAGCTGGTCATAATTTCCTAATTTTCCTTGTATAATGAGCAGCAGTTAGTTTTTCTTGAATGATTTTAATATTGCATTTTAAATGTAAAAGAAGTTTTTGAAACCATCATGCTTTATTGAATACATAATTTTGTATGGCTAATAAATTTTTTCCAAACATATTATTTCTACAGTCTATAGATCTTCTGCATTACTTGTGGGTGGCGCCACTGTCTATTGTTATTGTGATGTACCTCATTTATCGGCAAATTGGTGCTTCATGCTTCTGGGGTCTTGGAGTCATCGTTATTATTGTGCCACTTCAAGTTGGCCTGTCGACCGCTTTTGGAAAACTGGGGTATGAATGAAATGTAGTTTAGAGTATGTTATATGACACTGCGTTTATGACAATTACAACACAGCAAAACTGAATAGAATGTGTGTGTGTATATGTATATAAAGTAAAAGACCCTTTTACACCTCTTCAGGCGTATAGGGCTAGACATATATTTTATAGACCAATTGCCACTTGGTGGATGATGGGATCAGCATCAGTGCAGGCCACCTTTACTTCCCAGACCTGATACCCACTCCAGGCTGGGTTGACCTGGGAGCCAAGGTCATTTTTTAAAAACAGTTTGGCTCCGCCAGGACCTGTACCCATGACCTTCCAATCTGCAGGTGAGCATTAAGCCGCTACACCATGGCGACCCTGAACACACACACATGCACGCATGCATGCACACACACATTTACAGAGAGAGGTATAAATTACTACTGCTTGAATGTTGTGTCAGGTTTATCTGTTGAAAATGGTTTTGGAATTTCTGAACATATCACATCTCTGTTCCAGATTTATTGACTGCTCAGACTTTTTATTTGAAAGATTTGGCAGCTGCCCCTTATATTACATACCCACATGTCTGAATAGCTCCCTCTACTTTTTGGGGGTTAGGTGCTATGAATTTGAGCATATCTAAGGTGTGTCCATTTGGCTGAATTCTGTATCAAGGTCTTTCTTGGTCTGCCTTTTCTCCACTTCCCATCTACAGAGTCATGTAGTACCGCTTCGGTGATGCCAGTAGAATTGCTACTCATCCACACTATTGCATTTTTTCCTTTTTGACTATTATTAAAAGAGGTTCATAGTTTCCAGTACCTGTTAAATCAGAATTGGGGAAAAGGGCAGCACTGTCTGACACCTATTATTCGAAACCAACTCCCTAATTGTCTGATAAGCATGACAGCACTACTGGCTTTGGCATATAAGGTTTTCCTCTACTTGAGCTTATAAATTGTTCTGTAACTACATTTGTAGTCCTTGGCTTAGAGGTTCTGAAACCCAATTTGATTACATTGAAACTGTGCCCAACGGGGTTTGTTTTGTGACCTGCAGATTCAGAAAATGACAAGTGGCCTGTTGTCAGAGAGCTTGTGGTGCCTTATGCAATTAATTGTATGTGCAACCACTGATCTGATGTAACTGCTGCTTCCATTGATGATGAAATGCATTTCTAGTTTCAGACTGTTTGTGTTGGCACTTCTGGCTGCTAACTAATGCATTTATTGTGCATGTGTGCTGTTCAGTTTATAAGAATACAGTCTGTCTTTTTTTTTTAAATCTCAAGAGACAGTGAAGAACATGCTATGGGGTTTTTATTGGCACAAGAACGGAGCAAATTTTAGGGTGATCCATTTGCTATGAAGCTGGAAATGCAATTACCTCAAACTTGAGAACATAAATATACACAACATCTCTACATCATGGAATGTTGATACACATGAAAATTATTTTTTCCTCTTTAGGCAAAAGATTGGTGCATGTTCTGACAGACGCATGCAGCTGATGTCTGAAGTTGTCATCGCTATGAAAGTTATCAAAATCTATTGCTGGGAACAGCCATTTCAGGCCCTTATATCTAAATTACGAAGGTAGATTTGCATGTGTGTGGTTGCTGTAATCACTTTCACGTTGTTGCTTTCTTACTGAAATGTTTGCAACTTGCAGATGTGTTGCACTGAGTTGACTGTTCTGAAATTTTAACATTCCTGGACTACTAAAGTGTTTTAAGACTGCACAGACATGTCTTTACAAGTAATATACATTGTTTGCTTGGTTAAAATTTGCACCTGTTTTAGGTAAGAATGGTATAATTAATAAAGAAATCATCATACTTATGTTGAGATGTTGCTCCATTAAGGCTGTTTCCCTGCTTGGAAATAACTGAGCTTATGTGCATAATGATGCATTTTATGCACGAGTTTGCATGTACCTCAGTAGTTCCTTCCTTGAGATTATGAGCTTGAGAATATAAGGGATTGTCCTCAGAATGAAATATTTTCCCAAAGGATGTTTATCATTCTTATGCTACTTTTTCTGTATTTGCACGTGCATGTCTGCCTCATTGTCTCAGTATGTGGTCTCACAGACAGTACACATTTCCGTGTGCTCAGGCACTTCTATGTATATCTGACTGTTCTGCAAATTTCTGTCCACCTCGTTGCAACTGTTTACTGCAAAGAAAGTAACATTGCATGTTCACATTATCTTTCTCTATCATGTAGAATTTTTTTTGTTTCACGGTGTGACTTAACACATCATTCAAAACTATCATTGAATATGGACGACATCAAACATTACTTCCACCATAAATTTAAAGACTTATACGTAAAGGACCCCTGTCAGTGTCTGTGGCTTGAAGGTTGCAAAAACAGTTTATAATTCTAAAATACCCAGCTCAATTCAGCTGCAGACAGTTTGGCAGTAGACTGCCTAGTTGATTTTGACAGTGGTATAGAGAGCTAGCTGACCGTTTATAAAGCAGTGGGCAAGCAAGGAAATGCATAATTGTCTAAAGAAGACACAAAGAGCCAACAATTGCTGGAGTTGGTATGCAACGTTCTTTAAACAAGATAAGCAGCTAACTAAAAAAAAAAAAAAACAACCTATCACATCATGTGGCATATTGGTCATTTGGTGGCCAGAGGCATATTTTCCTACCAGAGGCCACTCATTTAGTGATGTGGTCAGTATAACATGGGCATACACAGTGCAGTCATGAGAAGTTTGATTTTATTCAATGAACTCACCTTTTCCAACTCTGCACATGTTGTCAGCACCTTGCTATCTTTCCAGACTATAGAGTTATATTGTGCTATGGGGAGGCTTAGGAATCACAGCCCATGGCGAGTGTGGCTAGCAAGATCCACCCACGTTAACAAAAGTCTTTCCCAATTAGAGCTTGGGATTTCGGGGGCCGTTGTTGCCGTCATACCTATATAGTGTGCTTCTTCTCAGATGTGCATCATTTAACTTTTCTGCAGTCATTTTTGTATTTACTCTCTGGACATGTAGTGTTAATTATTTTCACAATGCTTCATGTTTTTTTCAACTGATATGATGAGAGAAAAATTTTGGCAGCCTTTTGCTATGGCATGGAAAAGTGGCAGGACACATTGAAATCACAAGATGTGAACAGTCGTGATCACCTATGCTAGCCAGCTAGAGACTTGATAATGATAAGCAATGTATTAAAAAAAAAGAAAAACTTTAGTCAGAATTATTAGCTGTATCAACACTATGTTTCAGCATTCAGTCCCTCGTAGTGTCTCAATTTTACCGCTAAGTAACATCTTAGCGGGGTTGATTCAGCTTCACAACATATGTAATGGGCAGTCTGGGAAAGGTTGACCTTCATAATCTTGACCACATTAACCATTAGTGGGAAGTTGACTGGTATAATTTTGACAATGTTAACTGTTAGTGTGAAGCTAATTGGTATAAATCTTGACTTGTTAACTATTAGTGTGAAGTTGACTGGTATAATCTTGACCATGTTAATTATTAGTATCAGGTTTACTATTATAATCCTGACCACATTAACCATTATTGGTAAGTTGACTGGTATAATCTGGACCACGTTAACCATTATTGTATCTTTAGGTTACTTGGAATGTAGTTCTAGCACAATGTCCACAAGATACCTCATTAGTATGTAAACAGACCTGACATTACTTTCATTATCATCATGTGTTATGCAGATCACATTCCACCACACACATCTCTTTTGTATTCTTGATGAGTTCGACCACTGATGTTCTTCCATGTGACTTCACCATTTTATCCAACATTGTCTTCCTTTCTAATAACGCCTTGTTCTTTCCCTCATAACCTTCTCTAGGCTAGTTCAATCTCATAATGCAACTTGTATGATCGTCTTGTTCTGATGTAGTTAATCAGATGTCTTTGCATATTAGGTTTTTTAAAGAATGTGGATACTGGTGTCCTTAGTCCTCCACGAGACTCTTAGTATTGTTTGAAGAATCTTCATCCCTGTGGCCTTCATTTTCTGTCTACTCTCATTACTTATGCCCCTGATTCACAAGCATACTAAATACATGCAGTAAAGGTAAAGTTAGGAGATGTGAACCAGCATCATTGCACATGGTTATAAACCATAAGTGCTCTGCCACCAGTACGGACAGCTGATAAGAAACTGTCTGCCTGTGTCGCCGTCCGCATGCAACTCCGTAGTGACTTTCCTCCATTTACCCTAGAGTGTTAACTCTGGTATAAATTACCTAGAGGCTGGGTGAATCCTGGGAACTGCCTAGTTTTGAACACCGGCCTTGGGCTGCAGCGAGTCACAGCTGGATTTGAAAGCAAGTCTTCTTCACTAATGCAGTCTCCCAATCTACTTTACATGCAGTATATAACTTCCTGAAACTAGTTTTTTAACTACATTATAATGGCTAAATACAGTGCGTGTAGGTTCGTGCCACCAGTTAAAGAGCACTGGTCTAGAGTAGGTACGTGAATGGCCAAACATTTCAGAATTACAACAGCACTCTTAGCCCGTTGGCTACTTGTTTAGATGTACGTTAATGATTTTACTCTCCACAGTATTCTAACAGGACATATTTTTCTAACTGAAATCTACTTGTTAGTATAAATGTTTAGAGTAAGTTAGCAATTAAATAAATGTTTTATTCTATCCATCTACATCTTAGAATGCCTTTTCTGCACATTAAAAAAATCTAGTATGTGTTGGCTTTAGCTATTAGATCGTTTTTGCCCTTGCAGTGTGTGCATTTATTTAAAAAAATCACAAAATTATTAGTTTTTGTGTGTAGTAGGTTCAATTTTACATAATATTTTTATAACCACTTAATTTTTTAATTAGAGCATTTTTTCATATAGAGTCTTAATTAATTTAGGTATTTTCAGTTTTTGGATAACTATACACTTGCATAGTTTTCTTTACAACCAAACACTGTTTGGGTTAAAAATGAATTAGTTAAAAATGTTCTACCAGGCATGTGTGTAGTTAACAGAATAACACGTAACTGAAAATATATTTAGCCTTCATAAATTTTCAGCCTTTCAGTTAGTGATGTCAGTGAAACAAAATTTATTAAATTCTTTCATTTCTTTCTAGTGAAATATATTAAATATAAATTATTTCGTCAAGACAGGAAACAATTTTTTATTGTCTTGGGGCTGGAATCAAAGGCCTAAATAGGGGTATGGAGGAAGTTTGCATGCGTGGTCTTGCCCTGACATTTTTCCTGTCACATTACTACATGGCTGGATACTCACTGGAGCCGTTGAAGGTGTTCTTCATCTTGTCTCTTTTGGACACTGTCCGACTGACAGGTTTTTACTTTCCTCACTATGCTGCAGAGGTTTTGAGTCAGCTGCTTGCATCTACTCAGAGAGTGCAGGTTTGTTAGGGCTTTCGTTTGCAGATGTCTGTGGTGCTTACTCTGGGTTTTTCACAATGGTTAGCTTTTTTTAATCACTGCAACATTGCATCTATTCTAAATTAATTACAATACTGAGAGCCACATATTTAGAATATTTATGAATTTGTAATGAAATGGTAAAGCTTTCTGTGGAAAGAATACTAAGAGAGAAATAGATTACATTTGAAAGCTTGCATACACTCCATCACACATCACATTTAATCTTGTCTACTTCTGGCTAGACCTTTTTTGATTTTTTATTTCAATAGAGTATGTATTATTATTTATGGATTGATAAGTAACAGCCGTTAATAAACTACAACATTCATTAATTGGTGCCTGCACAGAATATAGGGAATTAAATAGTATGATAGAATTATGTTGAGCTTTGGGCGAAAACTAAAGTTCCTCTGGACCAAGAGTGAAGAAAAGATGCTTGTGTTGGATAGGACACACATTGAAACTTGTATAATAAAATCTGAACACAGTCTAACTAGAATGTCTTTACACTGGAACCCACAGGGGCATAAAAATAAGGCAGACTTAAAAACACAAAGAGAAGGGGGAATCTCAGAAAGTAAAGTTTAAAAAGACAGGAAGAACATGAGGGGATCTGCATGCAATAGCAAAGGATAGAAGGATTTGGCATGACTTTGGTTTCAGGGCCTATGCTCAGTTGGGGGGGGATAGAAAGCAGAAAAGTAGTAACAGCAGATTTGAAAAGGAACTCTTCACTTGCTGCTGAAGATGGGGATGGAGAGTGTCCTGAGTGCTATGTTGTCAATTCCTAATTCAACATTCAAAGTAACTCACATATGTAGTTAACATAACTTTATGGTATGTTGATATTTGTTCTTAGAAGATAGTATCCATTTTGGTATATGTGCCATCAATCACACACTGTTTTCTTCAGGAAAATGTTAAAAGCACATTTGTATGGGTCTTATGGCAACAGATAAGTAAAATGTATCTGATGTGATGGATTTAACAAATGTCGAAATACAATTGGTGTGGTATAAATGTTTATAAATATAAAAATAAATTGTTCCAGAAAACATTTGCAATGTTTTTAGCTGCCCGGACTCAAACCTATAGCTACTAAGATCAGACTATGACAGATAATCGGTTGCTGCCTGCCAGTCAGCTCAGAGAGAAATGGAGAAAAATATATTATTGCATTCTAATATTATTCCACACTACTATCTGAATGCATCACACACTTAGTAAAGCATGCTTCCCATCTGCCTTGCATTGACCCTTCTTATGTATGTAACTTTTAAAGATGTGCACAAAGCTTGAAAATAATTTGCAGATATGAGATCTCCTTGCTACGATGGTATGGGATCATTCAAAGTGCAGACTCTGTGTCTGAAGCCATGATGTCACGCCTTGCCTTGTTTGTGATTGTCATGCTTTTGAGGCATTCTGGTAGCATCAGGTCAGCAGATGTGTTGACCACGCTAGCATGGCTCTGTGTGCTGCAGAGCATTGTTCTCAGGTTCCCAGTCCAAGGTTTGCAGGAGATTTTAAGGATGCGTAGCTCAGCACAGCTGGTGCAAGTGAGTCATGTTAGACTTCCATGTAATGGATGTCTGCTTTTAAACTTTATTTCCTAGGTGCTGACAATAATACCAGTTTTATAATTTGATGGTCTTTCTTTCACCACAAAAGAATTAATATTTACTTCAAAAAAAAAATGTTTGATATAAGCATTACTTTGATAATCTTAAAATACAGGTTATTTAAAAAAATTTAATAATAGCTGTCTTGCTGTCAGACACATTAAATTAATATTAGTTGCAGGTATATTGTAATTAACTTACACACATCTTATTTACTAGTCAGAATGATATAATTTCTGCTATTTATAGCTGAAAATTTAATTTTTAGTGATAAATTGACATTAAGATGTATGGTGGATTTATATTAAGTATTTATGAGACAACCACATTATCACACTGGTTAAATATTTTATGCATTATTTCTTTGTCCTTTAAATTGTGCTTGCATTATTTTCTCCTTATTTAACATTGTGCATGCGTCATTTGTTTTTATGTCTTTTAAAGCATTCTTTCTATGTGATTAGTACACCCACAAGTATATAACTGTTAAGCGCCTATATTATATACAGGGTAGTTTCACTTTCAATTTCTTTTCATATGGTATGTAATATTATTTGCAGCTGAGACTTAGTATAATTGCTGAGTAAACTTGTTACATCAAGGTTCTGTGATTTGTTTGGTAGTAATGAGACAGTACACTTAGGGACTTAAAACATTATCATTATCCCCTTACTTTCTGTATTCTGTGGGAGCACCTTGAGTAACTTGTTAGAAGTATGTAATAGAAGAAACACTGACAGACTCAGCACATAAACTAAATCTGAACTATGTTTTGAGAAATACAGCTGTAGACCTAAACGTTGCATTGTTAAATGTTTGTCTTTTTTTTTTTTAAATTTTGTTCAGTATGTGTCTTTTTCTTGTGGTGTGTTCATATTTTTGTCTTTATCATTCAAAACAGATTTCTAAACATAATATATAAAGTACTGCTGACTAGTGCACTTAAAGCCAAGCTACCACTGACAACATATTTTATTTTTAGCTTGTATTCTAGACAGTACACTCTTTGCTTTAAGTACTGTTTTTATAATATCTAACAGGAGATTTTTATGAAGGGTTGTGGGCTTTTTTGACTGTCAATTTGCTTTCATAAGCCATTTTTCAAATATTGTCACTGTTCAGAGTATTGTTTAGGGGGTGAGTTAAGTGGGTGATGGGTTAATATTTTTGGTGTGAATAAACTCTGATATTGAATGCACCATCAGCCAGCATGTATGTAAATATAAGACTGCGCAAGGCTGAGGGCTAGCTGATTAGATTGAAACTATTTAAACTTCCATGGAGCTCAATGCTTCTAAAAAAATGTCAGTTCATTTGTTCATTAGAGTCAGTACCAATCTAGAGGATTTGGGAGTCTCATTTTGCCAGGATAGTAAGATCAACTAAAGTCTGTCAGAAATACTTCCTGGTATCACAACACATTTTCAGTTATGTGTAGTTACAGTATTTTAGACATTCTAGTCCATAAAATTCAAGGCAATTAAGATGAAAATAGCAAACCATGTCAAGCACAAAACTTAAAATAATCACAAACATTTTCTCCTTCTGCTCTGTTTTCTCAAGTGGTGCATACATAGGCCCTCAACTCACCTCAAGTTGCCCTATCATTTGCTATTACATGCAGCATGTCACATGCCCTCCCAAGTTTTTTTTCGTTTCACTCTTTAATTCCCTTCTTCATGTGGTTTTGTGTGTACGTGTGAGTGTGTGTGTTTGTGTGTGTGTGCGTCTGCCTTTATTTATTGACCCTGTGAGGTACAGTGCCAAAACATTCTAGTTATCTTGTTACCATTACCAGGTTTTCTCAGTGTATGCACTATCCAACACCAATGTCTTTTCTATCCAACAGCGGTGTCTTTTCCTCATCTTTTCATTTATTTGAATACGAATTCTCTTTTAACTCTTTGAGTCCCAGAGGGTTTAGCATCACAGGCCCAAGGGATAGTCAAGAGAGACGTCAAATCAGTGCATCATGCGTTCATTGGGCTTCTAGACAGTAACCTATGAATGAATGATGTGTTCCTTGGGACTCAAAGAGTTAAAGCTCCATGTTAACGATTCTGTCATGCCATTTAATTCCATCAGTTCACAACGATTTTTAGTATGGATAAAGACTGGCATTAACTCTCCTTTATTATAATCTGTGTATACTTATCACTTGTAAGTTTTGTTTTATTGTTTATCTGCTATTTTAAGACAAGCTAATGCCATCTATTGTGTATTTGTTATTTTATTAAAAAAAATGTGTCCTCTTCATTAACCCTCAAACTGAATAGTGTAATCATCCTTAATTACATTTCAAGCAGCATTTAAACAAGGAAATAAATAAATAAACCTGTGACAATAGGGCATGAATTGTGTGTGTTTATTTGAAACATAGTTAGGTTAATTATGTATAATAGTCAGTTGTCATGTTTAAATTAAATTTATAAAAATTATTTACAGTAATCAAGTATAAAAACAGCTGGCTGCAACTGTATACTGTTGGAGATATTCATTTTTCTTAAGATTTTCTTTACAGTTACTCTTAATTTGCAGTTTTTGCTTTACGGCTTTTATTATATTTGAAAGTGTTTGATCCTTGTTATCACCAATTGGCTATTTTGTCTGTAAAATTTTACATCAGTTAATATAAAGTTTTTGTTGCAAAGCCATTGACATTACCTGTGCTTTATGTTGTCAGGCTTTGTTAATGACCATTTAAGGACATTCACTATAAAGTATATGCAATAAAATGTCCATGTACCAATATTCTACTGTCGCTCTTTGTCATTGAACAGGGCAATCACAGAACTATACAACTGGTGTTGTCTAATAGGGTGGCTCAGTAATGATTGTTTCCATGTAGTACACAAACTCTAGTCTATTCTTGACATCTCAGCATCGATATATTCTGCAACACTTTGTTTCAGCTTGCCTGTGTTTACACATCTCCTATGTAGCCCATGGCATAGCAGTTCCTGGTCCTTTGTTAAAAAGTCTGCAGTTCAGCTCCAGAGTCTTCTTGCTATATCAGTTTAGACTCCTTCTTGCTTATTTCTGATAAGTAGTTTAGGAATTACGATGTAATGGTTCATCATTGTGATCTTCTCTTGTGCTGTCATCCATTGTGACTAGTTTATAGCCCAGGCCTTGATGGTTGGCACTAGCCACTGTCATTCCATGTATTTATAAAAGTTAGTTGCGTATCGTTTACAGGACCATCCCCAGCATTAGTTTGCCATTGCTTACTGAGCGGTCAGCTCTCGGTACCACTGTCGAAACCTACGCAGAACAAATTGTCTGTAGCTGGGATCAGACGTGGCATCCCAGCATTACGAAGCATTTTCCTAAGCCACAGATGCTGATATGTGTGTATACATAATCTTTGATATAAGTTCTTCTTCTTCTTATGTGCCCTCTTGCTCTCTTATCACATCTTCTTAGACATAGTGCCTGTATTAGTATTTGGTGTTGATGCATTCTGACAAGGTGCCCAGTATGTTTGATCTTCTGTATTTTTGCCACTAAATTATATTTTCCACTGTCTTATCTTATAGTATCATTTCTGACTTTGTCTTGTATGCTAGGCTTTAGGATGTATGATGCCCCTATGCAATCATTTATCATAGGGCTCTTCTTCCTTCAGCTAAACTTCACCATAACTACTGCCATACTATTTTAATACCCGAACACTATTACGAGGGTTAGTCATTAAGTAATGACAATGGTATTAATAAGCGGCTGGAACAAAATTGTTGTGTCCCATTTCTCGAACTAGTCTAACTGCCTTGCATCACATGTAGTCCACCGATCCACAAGAGATTTGCAGATGACAATGTCGGTGGTGTAAACTTGATCTAAACTTGATGGCAGGCCACACACACAATCTTCTACCTGGTGAGCACCACAGTCTTGTGGATCAGTGGATTACATATGGTGCTCACCAGGTAGAAGCCTTTGGGTGTGGCCAGCGACCAAGTTTACACTACTGACATCACCTCATTGTCATCTTCATATCTCTAATCCAGCAGTTCTTCAATGGACTAAACAAGTGAAACTCCGATAGGGCCAGTTCTGGGCTGTATACTTTAGTACTTCAAACCACAGCGTCTGTATTTTATTACTGTACACGCAGCCGTGTGGGGGCAGGCGTTGTCATACAGCAACACAACACCTCTTAAGAGAAGACCTCGCCATTTCAGTTCGATCGTTGGATTCAACTTGTTTGCTAACATGTCACTGTAACAAGCACTAGTCACATTTTACCACTTTCTTGGAAATGCGTCTGTATAGGCCCTTAACCTCCAAAAAAGTGGTTAGAATGACCTTCCCAGCTAAAGAAAAATTTCTTTGTGTGTGGTGGTGACGCCGGGTACTTCCACTGCATCGATTGTCTCTTACTGTTTGATTTGTAATGGTGCACCCAACACTCATCACATGCCACAGTTCAGTGGAGAAAAGCACCTACTCTGCAGGTTAATGATCCAAATGCTCCTGACAATCGTCTGCCTAGTGTGCTTCTGTTCATCAGAAAGCCGCCTTGCAACCCATCTGCTACTCACTTTCCTATATTCACAGTAGTCATAAACAATTTTGTATGCAGCACCTTGACTCATGTTAATTTCTACAGCAGTTTTATCTGTAGTGACTCATTTGTTGTCACAGATTTTCTGCTCTATCTACTGTTTCACTGTCTCATTTGCAGCGCTCACAGGTCTCGCACTCTGCTTTTCATCACTGACATTATCCCTTGCATTTTAAAATCTTCCCACCCATTTATACACTTTCCTGTGACACAAACGGTCTACATTTTGAACCTTCATTCTTCGTCAAATTTTGGTTTAACGCTTTCTTCCCACAAAAAAAAAAAAAAAAAAAAAAAAATTAATAATGCCTCTTTGCTCTTCAATGGTGCATGTTAATAGTGCTGCGGTCATCTTCTAAGTGCTGTTGCCCATGCTTGTACTGCTAAATCAATATGGCACCTACTTTGGGTATTGCAAAGGAGCCATTCTGTGTCCTTAAATAATATATTTTCTTCAGCACACTGTTCTATGCAGACTAGAATACAGTTGCCTTTAGGTAATGACTTTCTCTTGTATAATATGGGTTGCAGAATGATAAAAGTCATAACAAAATTTTTCTTCTTCTTCTTTGTGTTCACCAGCTGTAAACTCTGGTGGAAAATTCTGGTTGTTTGTCCACTTCTGGACTGCAGTTTTGTTCCAGAATCTGAGTGATGAGTGTGCATCCGCTTGACAAATCTGACACAATTGTGTGCAGACTGTTGGACCCTTGCCTCTCAAACAGATGCACTTTGATTTCAAAGGAAGCTGCCAGTTAGTTCTCTTACAACGTTTTTTTTTTTAGCATTCATGTGGAAAAAGGGTAAATTCATTTGGTGCCACGAATACATCAAAATAAAAACAGAATCCTATATAATGTTGCTGTGGTACATGTTAATAGATGGGGGAGCTCATTTTACTAGCGCCTCTCATTTTCCTTCCTTGTTCAGAAGTTTTCAACATTTTATTTTGTCGCTTAGTATTTAAATTGGCCACTACAGGCCCCCGAATCCTCTAAATGAAATGTGATTTATTTCTTATAATTTATCATTGTGTCTCTAGATCACAAGCACCACATGTATATTGCAGCAGTTAACAATTTCTCTTTCGCTTCCATGCTGTAACAATTACTGACACAATATCACAGCTAAACTGTTTGTTTTGTGCATGGCTTGAACAGATGTTCCACATATTTTTTATTATCATGCATGCATTGTATATTTAAATGTAGTTTCTTTAGTTGGGTAGTATAAGCAGTTATAAATAGTAACTATACATTTTTGGGGGTTTTATTATTTGATTTTTTACTGTTTGTAAGACTTTAAATTCAAAATCCTAAATTATACGAACGTTGTTTATGCTTGTAAGGAAAGCGAATGTATGTAAAATTAAATAAATTGTTTTCACAGCAGCGACTCATCAGGTATTTGTTGCTAGACTGCTGACCTGTTTTTATAAACTAATCAGCACTTGCTGAATGAGGTGATCATCATCTTACCAGCCACTTTTATTTCCCCAAATATTACCCAGTACCCATTTTAGGTTGAGTCAGTCATAGAGTCAAGATTACAACTTCTGTTTTCTTACGATGAAGAAAATTATCTTAAATTATAATCAGTATTTGATTTATAAAAACGTTAGATTAGTTTTTAAACAGTCAGAATTGTCAAAGTGCATGATTTTTAGTTAGTTATCTGTCTTATGTTGACAAAATATTAATATCCCCGCAGGCATTTCTTCTTCTTGATGAAGAGAAGGAGCAAATAAAAGACCTTCGATTGCAGCGTTTCATCAGCTATCATTATGAACCTCGTAGTGACTGGGCTGTTGATATTGACCATATGACTGCTCGCTGGCCACTTGTGTACACAGAGGGCAGGAGAAGGTTCCAGAAGAAGAAATTAAGAAGTAGTACGAGTTCTACTAAAAGTCTGCTTCAAGAGGTTGGTATTCAGTATTAGCTCACATTACATTGATATTAGCATTAATATTGATTTTCAGAATTAAACGTGCTTCGTAATGCCGGGTTCGATCCCAGCTGCGGGCCTTGTGCCTTGCGTTGGTTTCAACTGTGGTATTGAGAATTGACTGTTCAGAAAGCAATGGCAAACTACTGGACGTAAATTTTCCTAGAAAAATCACAATGTATTGGTCATTAACTCTTTCAGGAAGGCATTTTTTAAATGGGGGTTTGGATAGGATTGATTTTGAGCAGAGTTTTTTACTGCAACATGACAAAGCTAAATCTTTCTTGGAGAAAAAAGGTTGGCTGTATAGTCACATATAATCTATCAGAGTAAAGAGAAATGAATGCAGAATACATCTAAACCATTTAAGGATCAGTACTGCAACATTAAATATTATAATAACACCACATTCAAGGATGTTAGACATAAATACAGATTTTGAGTGCATGAAATTTTGTACTTAGGTTTTTTTTTTTTTAAACTTGATCAGCAACGCTGCTATCTATATTCAGTTATGCATCAGCTAATCTCTATTTGAGACAGCTAATCAAAATACTTCAGATTTTATGACCATTTGTATGTGCCATATAGTATTTCGCAACAGTCAGACATAGCTGATCGAAACGGGGGATCAGATTGAAGCACTTTGTTTAACTTCACCCGACTCATATCGTAAGAATCAAAGTCATCACTAGAAAATGAAAATATACTTTGTTTTACTAATCCTTGTTTTTCAAAACAGTGTTCATACAAATTCATACAAATAACAATATTAGTATCTATGTCCAGAGCCACTCAAGTGGCGATGGTCCAAATGTGACAGATTTAGCCACCACTTATGTGTCAATACGTCCGCTAACATATAGCAATCAAGGACACATGTGCAAGTCATTAACATGTATCATGCAAGGACATATGAAAAAGTCATTAATAATCAGCAGGCACGGACATATGTTGCAAACATAGACATATGTTTTCGTCAGTAATGTGTATCAAATAAGAACTTGTGTATGAGTATAAATATGTATAAAAAAATTGTGTATGTAAAAGTCATTAATGTGTATCATAGCTTTCCTATGAACAGGGTATTAGTCTGGTGTTATGGAAATACATAAAAACTATGGAGGAAGTATCACTAGCCTAATCCCCAGTTCCAGTCAGTTTACATTTACTGTGTTTTGCTGTAACCCAGTTACATTCTAATGTGCCTCTGCAGATGTATTACTTTCACAACTCCTCTTGATTTCTAGTCTTGGAAAGGGAAAGGATAGCTATGCAACACAGTTCAAATGGAAATTATGTTTTGGTGTTAAAGCAAGTAATAAAAAAGTAAAGGGCCTTTTTACACGCCTTTAGGCATATTGGGTATATAGGACTATACGTAGATTTTATAGATCAATCAGTACTTGGTGAGTGATGTGGTCAGCATCATGCTAGCTGCCTTTACTTCCCGGGACTGCACCTAATAGCCACTCAAAGCTAGGTCGACATGGAAGCCAAGGTCATTAAAAAAAAAAATTAGGCTCCGTCAGAACCCAAACCCAACACCTTCCGATCTGCAGGTGAGCACCAGCTGTTACACCACGGCAACTCCCATTTTGATGTTAGCTTAGGAGAAAAGTTTCTATACTGACCTCACTAAAATAGCCCTTTTATAGGGCTGGGGTGAGCTGTATGTCAATCAGCTGTACTTCGGAAGATTCATAAACAATTTGACGTGGCAAACATTAAAAAGTAACACAGATAGATATAGTTTCCTAGCTGTAATAAATTAAATTTATTATGTTTTGCTTTTATGAAGTAAAATTATAATTTTCTGCATGTACTTATATTCTGCCTTGCATCATGCCACACCTTATATGAGAAATAAAATAATTTTTTTCTCTTTGATTTGCAGAGTGATCTTGATCATGCTTTTTCTCTCAAATATGTTTCCCTGCAAATAAAAAAGGTAGGAAATATATTAATGTGGTGTATATTGAGTTAAATCAATGTACAAATGTGCTTAAATATTTACTTATGTACTTACTTATGCACTTACTTATGTACTTACTTATGTACTTACTTATGTACTTACTTATGTACTTACTTATGTACTTACTTATGTACTTACTTATGTACTTACTTATGTACTTACTTATGTACTTACTTATGTACTTACTTATGTACTTACTTATGTACTTACTTATGTACTTACTTATGTACTTACTTATGTACTTACTTATGTACTTACTTATGTACTTACTTATGTACTTACTTATGTACTTACTTATGTACTTACTTATGTACTTACTTATGTACTTACTTATGTACTTACTTATGTACTTACTTATGTACTTACTTATGTACTTACTTATGTACTTACTTATGTACCTACTTATGTACTTACTTATGTACTTACTTATGTACTTACTTATGTACCTACTTATGTACCTACTTATGTACTTACTTATGTACTTACTTATGTACTTACTTATATGCTTACTTATGTACTTACTTATGTACTTACTTATGTGCTTACTTATGTACTTACTTATGTACTTACTTATGTACTTACTTATGTACTTACTTATGTACTTACTTATGTACTTACTTATGTACTTACTTATGTACTTACTTATGTACTTACTTATGTACTTACTTATGTACTTACTTATGTACTTACTTATGTACTTACTTATGTACTTACTTATGTACTTACTTATGTACTTACTTATGTACCTACTTATGTACTTACTTATGCACTTACTTATGTACTTACTTATGTGCTTACTTATGTACTTACTTATGTGCTTACTTATGTGCTTACTTATGTACTTACTTATGTACTTACTTATGTACTTACTTATGTACTTACTTATGTACTTACTTATGTACTTACTTATGTACTTACTTATGCACTTACTTATGCACTTACTTATGCACTTACTTATGTACTTACTTATGTACTTACTTATGTACTTACTTATGTACTTACTTATGTACTTACTTATGTACTTACTTATGTACTTACTTATGTACTTACTTATGTACTTACTTATGTACTTACTTATGTACTTACTTACTTATGTACTTACTTATGTACTTACTTATGTACTTACTTATGTACTTACTTATGTACTTACTTATGTACTTACTTATGTACTTACTTATGTACTTACTTATGTACTTACTTATGTACTTACTTATGTACTTACTTATGTACTTACTTATGTACCTACTTATGTACTTACTTATGCACTTACTTATGTACTTACTTATGTGCTTACTTATGTACTTACTTATGTACTTACTTATGTGCTTACTTATGTACTTACTTATGTACTTACTTATGTACTTACTTATGTACTTACTTATGTACTTACTTATGTACTTACTTATGTACTTACTTATGTACTTACTTATGTACTTACTTATGTACTTACTTATGTACTTACTTATGTACTTACTTATGTACTTACTTATGTACTTACTTATGTACTTACTTATGTACTTACTTATGTACTTACTTATGTACTTACTTATGTACTTACTTATGTACTTACTTATGTACTTACTTATGTACTTACTTATGTACTTACTTATGTACCTACTTATGTACCTACTTATGTACTTACTTATGTACTTACTTATGTACTTACTTATGTACTTACTTATGTACTTACTTATGTACTTACTTATGTACTTACTTATGTACTTACTTATGTACTTACTTATGTACCTACTTATGTACCTACTTATGTACTTACTTATGTACTTACTTATGTACTTACTTATGTACTTACTTATGTACTTACTTATGCACTTACTTATGCACTTACTTATGTACTTACTTATGTACTTACTTATGTACTTACTTATGTACTTACTTATGTACTTACTTATGTACCTACTTATGTACTTACTTATGTACTTACTTATGTACTTACTTATGTACTTACTTATGTACTTACTTATGTACTTACTTATGCACTTACTTATGTACTTACTTATGTACTTACTTATGTACTTACTTATGTACTTACTTATGTACTTACTTATGTACTTACTTATGTACTTACTTATGTACCTACTTATGTACTTACTTATGTGTACTTATTACTTATGTACTTACTTATGTACTTACTTATGTACTTACTTATGTACTTACTTATGTACTTACTTATGTACTTACTTATGTACTTACTTATGTACTTACTTATGTACTTACTTATGTACTTACTTATGTACCTACTTATGTACTTACTTATGTACTTACTTATGTACTTACTTATGTACTTACTTATGTACTTACTTATGCACTTACTTATGCACTTACTTATGTACTTACTTATGTACTTACTTATGTACTTACTTATGTACTTACTTATGTACTTACTTATGTACTTACTTATGTACTTACTTATGTACTTACTTATGTACTTACTTATGTACTTACTTATGTACTTACTTATGTACTTACTTATGTACTTACTTATGTACTTACTTATGTACTTACTTATGTACTTACTTATGTACTTACTTATGTACTTACTTGAGTACTTACATCAAATGCTGTTATCCTCCCGTGGTCTAGTCTGTGGTGCCATTTTTGAGGAAACGAGAATGGACACAATGTACCCCCTCCCCTCAGTAAGCACATCATAATAGTCAACTAATTAGGGTGTTTCCTTTGAAGTTGGAGTGCATCTGCCTGAGAGGTGAGGAGTCAACAGTCTGCATTCTAATATGACTGATCTGTAAAGTGGATGTGCTGGCAAAACCCAAGTTCTGGAACAAGACTAAACTCCAGAAGTGGAGAACAACCAGAACTTTCAACTGGAGTTTACAGCTGAGGAAGGTCAAGAAGAGAAGTAACTAAACAGTACTTGTGAAGTCACCATTCACACAGGGATAGAAAATATGTCTGTTAACTATAAATATCTGTCATAGGCACATCAGAGAAACCATAAGGGTAGTATCTAGAGCCCAAAAAAATATTTAAAAATATGAGTTCATGAGAGTTTTGAAAGGATTTTTTAACAGTACCACTATCTGTTTTAATTATTACGTAATCTGTACAATATTATGATAACCAAAGGTAATTTACAAACATAAATATGCAATACTGAAATGTTTATAAAAAAAAAATATCAGGTTATAACCTAGATAAGCTGAACAGGATATCATTGCTTACATTGCTAACATTATTACTACTAAATACTACTATGATTCTTCTTCATCAGGGAGAACTTTTGGCTGTTGTTGGTGTCACAGGGTCAGGAAAGGTAAGTGGTGGCAGCTTCATTTTACAGAGTATTTATTTATTGCCATACCATTATGTACATTGGTACATAGGAATTCAAACATAATCCATTCCGAGACTGTGGTCGAATTCCAAATCGTTTGAGTTCCAACTTAATTTTTCATATTAAAAATAGTAGAACTAAAGTAATCTGTTCAGCAAACTCAAGTTTTAAAATTTATTTGGCTAAATACTGTATGCTGTAAATATAGTAACAAATGATGATGATGATCTTCATGTAGCAGGTTCTTTGCAAAAGTTGTCCACATCGTGGTCTGCCTAAAAGAAAACTGTCTCTCCCTAGCTCTCTCCCTCATGTACTTTCATACCAAAGGAGTCACTTATATCCTATACTGATCTTCATGCTGGTCGGCCCCTGCCGATCCTTCCTGGCCTCATGCCTTCTACTATTATTTTTTTTCAGTTGTTCGTGGCACTTGTTATGACCAAACTAGTTAAGCTATGAAACAAGATGCGGTTTATTAGCTAATCTTCCTTCATATTCAGATCTTTTAGGATGTCCGTATTTTTATTTCATCCTTGTCCGTCGAATTCTGAGATTCTTTATAAAGCATTTCAGCTCAAAAGCCCATATTTTCTTCCTCAAGAACTATGAGATACTCCATGATTTACATCAGTGTGTTGCTACAGGTAAAATGCATACTCTCAACCACCCTCCTTTTGGCCTCTGTTGAATAGCCTCCATTGCTGTTTATTATGGAGCCTAGATATTCAAAGTTTGTGACATTTTACTGAATACCTTGATAAAGATGGAGACATAGCACACAAATGTAGAATAAGGAAGGGGGATTTAGGAAGATTAAGTCAATGTGAACGCTTCATAATGCCGGGATGCCGAGTTCGATTCCAGCTGCAGTCCATGCGCCTTGCATTAGTTTTGACAGTGGTATCAAGAAAGTCGACCGTCCAGAAAGCAATGGCAAACTACTGGGCGTAAATTTGCCTAGAAAAACCACACAACAGCCAGGGGCTGTTGGGGTTTGTTCTGCAACATCCTGTAAAGGATACGCAACTAACATTGTTTGGAAGGTAGTCACTTTCCATTATTACAACAGGAATCCTTTCTAGTGTTTCATGTCTTTCACCTCTTGTATAAGTTTGGAGAACCTAATCTATGTTGAGAGCCAGCCTTGCAACATGGTCTCATTTTGGTGACCATTGTTAATTTTTCCCAAAGGTTCTGAAATGTTATCATTGAATAAGTTAACGCACCTGTTAACTAGTGCTCTATCAGGGTGGCACTTCTCAACAATTTCTTGGGGTTTGACCATGTGGTCAAACGATCTTGAATTTCAGCAGTGCTAATCCTTCCAACTTCCTCCTCTTCCTTCCCCATAATAAATTTCTTCTGCAGTTTCTTTCTTCTACTGGTGCTGAAGCTCTAGCATTGTGAGCTTAGTTGGGTGATCATATGATTAGAAACTGAAGTGTAGTTGGTGCTGTGGGGAGAGCTTGCCTGGCACACGTCAGGTGTTCGACTTCCAAGGTAGCGTTCATATTCTTTAATGAGAAATTTATTTAAAAATTTTATTCAGATTCCAAGTTGTTCAAATTTTGAAACGTTTGAATTCTGGGGGACCGTTGTATTCATAATTAAGTTAAAGTTAACCCACTTATAAGGCCGCCCCCATCTACACCTAAAAAAAATCCTTTAAAAGGTCGTCTCCATGTGGGATGCAATTTTTTGCTATTTTGAAGCCCCACCCAGGCTTTTGCTGGGGGTCACTAAATAGACTGATGCTGAACACGGTTTTTGGGACCTCTCCGCAGGTGATCCTCATCCGCATGGTGGCTCTTTGTGTCACTGGGTGTTTATCGCTTGTGTGATGTCCTGGTAGGGTAAAATTTACCTACAGCTTACCTCCCTAAAAAGTGGTAAAACAGACAGTAGTGACAGTTAACTTTTAAAAATAATTACTCTTGATCTTCTAGTCATCCCTCCTCATGTGCCTCATTGGTGAACTGCCCTACGAGATTGGCCAGATCTCCATTAATGGACGGGTGAGCTACTGTGGTCAGACCAACTGGATATTTAGTGGGACAGTGAAGGACAATATACTGTTTGGGCACTCCCTTAATCGAAATCGATACCAGCTTGTAATTGAAGCCTGTGGTTTGACTCAAGACCTGGAACTGTTACCGAAAGGGGATCAGACGTATGTTGGCGAGCGGGGTCTTCAGTTGAGTGGAGGACAGAAAGCAAGAATATCCTTGGCCAGGTGAGTAGATTACTTTATCAATTCAATATGTTATAATAATACTGGAATGGAAAATAAAATAAGTAATAAATTAGTGCAAAAGCATGAAGAGAAAACCTTTCCTTATACTAACCTAAACTCATACATGTGAGCTGTTACATTTCAGTGTGCATTGTCTATTTTGTTTGTTCAACATATCATACAAATTAAAAATAAAAGAAAAAGTTATAGACCCTTTTCATGCCAGTAGTGCATTGGGCATATATTCATATTTGTATAGAGCACTTGGTACATGATGAGTGATGTGGTCTGTCTACCAACCAACAAACTTTACTCTCCAGGAAACTTTCCAGTGGTGATTTTAAGCTGAGATTTAAGATCAGTTCACCAAATATTAATTCGTTTGGTGGATATCATGGTAAAAATAAAAATTTCTAATTATATACATACATATGTACGAATGTATGCATGCACATATATACATGCATGCACACACATACATTAAAACATTCACACACACACCACTCCACTCCTCTCCTCTCCACTCACTCACTCACTAACTCACTCACTCACTCACTCACTCACTCACTCACTCACTCACTCACTCGTTCACTCACTCGTTCACTCACACACACTCACATATGCATGTATATACACACACACATAAATAAATACATTGAGAATCCCAAAACACTTCAAACTTTTTGCTAATATATATATATATATATATATATATATATATATATATATATATATATATATATATATATATATATATATATATATATACACACACACACACACACATGCACACACACACACACACACATATATATATGTGTGTGTGTGTGTGTGTGTGTGTATATATATAAAGTTCACAGTTTTATGGGATTCCCAATGTAAGTATGTGTACATATGATTCCCCATACATTTCAGTGGCTTGTAAGCAGCCTGTTTGACTTGAGATATGCATAATTTTTTTATTTTGTTGTATGTTGCATGTTGCAGGTGTGTATATCATGATGCTGATGTGTACCTGCTCGATGACCCACTTAGTTCAGTTGACTCGCATGTAGGCCTGCATATATTTCAGAGGTGTGTTTGTTATTGTGCATGTATGTGTTTCTGAACAGTTTTATATTTGTTTAAGTGGGGTGGGGGGGGGGGGGGGGTGTTTCATGAAAAAAGGGGGAATTTGACTGTTGGGAAAGAGATACATATAGACAGATACAAAGAGAAAGGGTGAGAGATAGATACAGAGTGGGGCAGAGAGTTAAAGGCGGAGCTCGAAGGACATTGAGAGTAAGCTATAAAAACATAGGCATCATACAAGTTAAAAATAAAGGAGAAAGTAATAGACCCTTTTCATACCAATAGTACACTGTGGATATATTCATATCATTATAGCAATGGGCACATAATGAGAGAGATAGGAGGTCAGTTACAATAGAGAGACAAAGTGACAGAAAAAGATAAACACATAGATAGACAGACAGATGGATATGGAGAGAGAGAGATATATATTAATGTAAATATGGATAATATATGGATAATAACACACAAAGTAAACAATCAGTTTTAACTGACCCGATTATAATGGAATCCGAGTTTAGTTAAGACTTTAAATTACTTAATAATAACTAAATAAATATAAAATGTTGTGCTTTGTAAATTTTTGCTTGTGGATAATGTGAGGAAAATTTTGCTTCAGTTTATATGGCATACAGAATGTTTCTTTCTCGTGTGGGTGGCAGGACCCATTTGGGGAAGAGAGGGGGGGGGGGGGAATAGGCTAGCTGCCCCCAACATGTATGCCCTTAAGATGACAAGTTAGAATTTTGCTGAAAATGGATGTCCTGGACCAAAAGGTGCAAGTATCGCAGCCAGCTGTAAATCACAACACAATGTGCAAACCACCCTTTTTAGGGCTAGCAAAGAACAGTGTTTTTGAGATCTCTAAAAATTGATCTCTAAATTGTCTTCACATTTTTTTGTTTTAAACAAGTACAGAAAATATAACAACACACATTTTTTTTGGGTCAAACAGATGCATTAAAGATTTTCTGAGAGAGAAAACTGTGATACTGGTCACTCATCAACTGCAGTACTTGAAGCAAGTAGATAGGATTCTTGTTCTTCGAGATGTAAGTCTTCTAATGATAACTGCTAGAGAACAAGTTTTTAGAGAGCTTTTAGCGATTTATAATTAAATTTCCTGCCCATTTTCAAATATTGAATCAGGAATCCACATCACAGCACTTGGGACACCTCCATAAGTGCTCAGTCCCTATCTTCAGCAGCAAGCGAAAAGTTCTAATTCCGATAGTACCAGTAACCATCTGATTGTATATTCATCTCGCCCTTTTCTTGAGTGTTGAGCATCGGCCAGATCACCTGGAAACTCCCCGCAGCACCATTCTCCTCAGACCGTAATGATCCACTTGTGCCTCCACATTTTTCACTCGCTCCCAAAGAGCCCTCACAACACGTAGCTTGTCATACATCAATTCACCACAAAGTGGTGCAGAACCAGCCAGTCTGTCTGCCTGCACATTTCCCAACATGCTGGAGTAACCTGGAGAAAACATCTAACGGACACTAACTACCTGGGACCTCTGAAGCGTTGCTTGTCACTCTGCAGGGATCATGCCTGTCTCCACCTTTCTCAGGATGCTTTGTGAGTCAGTTACACTGACGGCATATGTGTACAGCTGATTCTGAAGCTAGTGGAAGGCAGCAGTGACTGCCTCAAAGTCCATTCTCAAACTAGACATTGTGATATCATATGCTAGACTTTGTTGCACTAAGCAACGTCCATTTGCCTTTGGAATGAACCCCCGCACACTTCCTCTGCACCTCATTACAGAACCACCTGTATAGTTAATCACACCACCCAGGTGCGAATTGCCATGACTCGTTTGTTGAACCTCTGATTTTGCTGCACCAGCTGGCCAGTCCCTGCACTCACAACCTAAAGTGATAAGAACCCTACACAAGTCTCAAACTTGCTCAAGCATTTCCTATCCCTTAAAAATAAAATAACAATTTTACACAGGTCATTAATACAATAAAAATGTGTTTATTATGTACATATAAAGAATGTAAAGGGAGTTATCAGTTAAACATAAACAGAGTGAAGCATTAAATGTAATATATTCCCTGGAGCCTAAAACAGATGTATGGGGGTTGATCATGCCATGACTGTGGTGATAGTACTGATGCTACTGGAAAATTTTGAGGTCAACATGGTCTTTAAAAAAAAAAAAGGCAATTTGGTTCACAAGAAAACTACATAAATGCTATTTTTAGCAAAAATATTCTTATCCTGACCTGAACGCTGCACTGGTGTGAACACAGCAAATAGCATTAAAATTTCTTTTACACATTTTTAGAAAAGTCGGTAAAGCGACTTTAATGGGGAATTACAAGTGTAGATTTTACAAATAAAAATGTAAAAATCACTGTCTTTCTGGCTAAGAGGTTAGTGCACCCTCTTCATAATGTTTGGGTGCCACTATTTGATTTCTGTGTCAGATGGATTCGAAAAAGACAGGTCTCGTGGTTTTCAGATAGTGGTATGATAGTCATCCTCTGGAAAAGTTTGGGGTCCTACTATGTATAGCAGGCTCTTGACCTGCAGGTCAAATCTGGCCATCACACGCCTAGCAAGTGACCCATGGATCACCAGCCAGTTGTACTGTATTAACGATTCTTCTGTGACGGGGCTCGGGCCACTGGCCCGCGACGATCCACATTTTCCAACATTTTGGCCCCTGGGTAAACTTCATTGAATGGACCTGATACATAGTGTTCCTAAAGACAGCGTTGATGTACTGCAGCCAAACTTCATTGTGTAGAGAGCACACTTTTTTTTTTAAATTTGAAAGTAAAATACTTTATATTCTGATGTGGCCTCTTTATTTATTTGAAAACAGGATATTGTAAAGTTTAATGTGACTTCATAAAAAAAAAAAAGGATACTTTAAATTATGATGTGACTTCTTTATTTATTTGAAAGTAAGATACTTTATAATCTGACGTTTCTTCTTCATTTATTTAAAATAAGATTCTTGATAGTCTGATATGTCTTCTTTATTTATTTGAAAATACATTACTTTATATTCTGATTTGCCTCTTTTATTCTCAGGGATCCATCTATGATTCAGGAACATACGATGAGCTTAAGTTGAGAGGAGTTAACATGAAGGCTCTTACATCCTTAGATGAACACCCTAAGCATATTTCTGAGGCTGCTAGGGAAGCAGAAGAAGAGGAAATCAAATTACTTGTGGGTTGGAGTAACATATTTTTGATCAGCACACTTCGTTTTAATTGTAGTTAAGGAGCACTATGTCTGCTAGAGATTTAAACACATGACACATTTTAGTTGAGATACGGTGAAAGCACATGGGTCTGGAGAGTTGGATAGAGGGAGAGAATTTCTAGGCATGCCTGGATGATAGCGACGTAATCTAAAGAACCTGCTGATTGACAAGGATGAGTTAAGATACCTGCTACAGCACCTGCTATGAGCATGCAGACTATCTTACTGACACTGCAGTTGCTATGGCTGGTCCAGTACTGGACTCAAGTGATGTTGTCAATGCCATGCGCTGCACTTACCGTACCGAGGAGCATGCCAAGGGACATGACTCCGTATCCCTGTCTAGACTGATGGACATGGGGGTGCAGCCTGCAGCTGCAAGAAATGAATATTTCACTAAGGGGACAAGACATTTCATAAACCAACACAAAACAAGCGTCATCCGTTGTTTTGCACTTGTGGAGCCTTTGAGGAGAAGATCGGAGCACCTATGGATCTGTCAGAAGTGCTGTGATGATAATCCTTTTTAATCACTAATCACCTGCTACAGTTTATATCAGTTTCAGTTTTGACTCTGTTACCATATGGAGCGGCTGGCAGGGCTCTCATGTGGGAAACCCGGGTTTGAATTCTCAATAGGCTTGGAGATTTATTTCTGACGGGGCCAAAAAGAAAATCATTACCTGTACAGTTTGTGGCAACAGTACTAGCCTCGTTGTGCTAACTCCTCAGGCACAAAGACTGCCTTGCCTACACCGCAAAAGTGATAAATGCAGGCATCAATGAGTTGGTCAACGTCTGTGGCTTAGTCGTTGCGAACGCGCTTCCTGATTCCGGGGTGCCAGGCTCGATCCCTGCTGCGGATGATTTGTCTTGCGCTGGTTTTGACAGTGGTACTGAGAGCTGACAGTTCAGAAAGCATTTGCAATCTACTGAACGTAAAATTTGCCTAGACAAATCACCACAGCCAGTAAATGCTAGGGTTGGTTCTGCAATGTCCTGTAAAGGATACGCAACTAACTTTAACTTTATTAATGAGTTGGATTTGTATTTTGTTTTTTGGCAGTTACCATGTCACCTTTAAATTGTATTGATTTATCATTAGTGTTCACTAATTTTGTTGTTCTCCCTTAGTGTCATAAGCAAAGGTAACGGCAAAGAATAATATTAGATTATCATGGTTTGAAGAGAATTGTGAAAAAAAAAAGGGGGGGGGGGGGGTGACCTGAAGATCTGACTGACACTCCAAACTCAGAGGACAGGCAGAGTAGGCATACAGGCAGACTGCTACTGGTACCATCAGAATTAGAAATCTGTGCCGGCTGCTGAAGATGGGGATAGGGCACTTATCAGAATGTCCCCAGTGCTGTCTTATCTTTCTTCTGCTTTCAAACTTCCCAATGGAGCATAGGCCCTTAACCAATTCACGCCAAGTCATTCTATCCTTTGCTGTCGCATGCAGCCCCTCCCATGTCCTACCCATCTTTTTAACTTTTCTCTCTCTAGCCCCTTTCTCTATGTGTTTTTTGGTCTGCCTTTATTTTTGTGTCCCTGTGGGTTCCAGTGCAAAGAAAGTCTAGTTAAATTGTTCTCAGATTTTCTCAGTGTGTGTCCTATCCAACACCAGCCTCTTTTCTTCACCTCTTGGGACACTGGAACTTGTTTAGTTCTCTCTCAAAGCTCAACATCAGTGATTCTGTCTTACCATTTAATTCCCGCTTTTCTGCACAGGCACCAGTTAATGAATGTGTGTAGTTTATTAGTAACTGTTTTAGGTGTTCTTCATGTTTCCACTCCATACAGCAGTACTGATTTCACATTGTTACAGAAGAGAAATATCATCAGCAAAGTCCAGATCCAAATCAAGCTGTTTTGTAGAAGTCCACAGGATTCCATTCCTAGCATTAGCAGTGCTGTGACATCAATTTTTAAGTCAGCTCAGGGCAAAGGGTGTCTCATGGTACATATGGTGTTTTAAGTGGTAAAATAGGTCATCACAGTATGAAGTTGTGTATTTCTCTTCTACACCATCTTTTCCGAGATAATTTCCAGACAATACATACTGTTAAATTTTTCCAGCTTGAGAGCAAACATTCAAATGTGACTGATGATGGAATTGAAGGAGAAGATGAAGTACAAACTGGCTGTGTTGGGTTTCGTGTCTACTGGGAGTACTTTTGTGCAGGTTATGGACCTGCATTGTTGGCTGCCTTACTGCCATTATGGATTGCTGGTCCAGTATGTTTTTGCTGTTTTTGTTTTGTTGAAAAAAATTGAAGATTTTGTTGAGCAGCATTTTGTTCTCATTGGTATTCTTTAGATGTTTCTGTATTCTTTAGAAGCTTTTATTACCTAATGTTGCATTTACTGTCTTCTAAACTTCAATACATCTAGAATATATAGTGTCTTATCATGACAGCAGATATTTTATTTTACCTGTTAATCAGTAGTGCCATGTCATTACGTCTAGTGTTAACTGTTAAAGCTTTCTTTCAAAGGATTCACACCAAACAACTAGTAGTTAATGAAAAGTTGTTGTCAGTATTCCAGAATCCTTGTATGAGTTCTGAGGGTCCCATTGAAGGGGGGAAAACAGAATAGACCCACTGCTCCTGTAACAAGCATGTTATAAAAGTTAATTTATTAGGGGTTTGCGGAAATAATTTGTGTTGGGATAAAAGGTGCACATATTGCAGCCTAGCTGTAAACCACAACATAACAGGCCAACCACCCTTTTTTAAGATGAGCGCAGAAAAAGGCAAATTACTTTCAACAAACCCAGGAATGCTCTGTCCCTCAGCATATTGTGTATGATGCAGTTACAGATTGTTCTAGAACCATTTTCTGGAACAACACTTAAATGCAAACTCAGTCACCTTAAATATGCTGTTTCATCCATAAATAAACTATAGAAAGATTGACAATGAATCTCTATTTTTGGTAACAGAAAGCTAAAGATGCCTATTAGAACACAGAATAGATGTATTGTGGTTTTAGTTAAATGAATTTACTGTACATTGAATAACAAATGTTTGAAAACTATTTTAGAACCAAGAAAACACACTAATGGTTTAAGTTAAAAGAAAAAAATATATATTTCCATTCAAATTGTTCTTTCAGTATCTTATTCAATTTTTCAAATTTTGAGACATTTCTATACATAATATATTTTTTCTTCATCGCAGGCACTTTACTGTTTGTCAGATTGGATGCTAACTCAGTGGTAAGTTTCCATTGTTATTATGTTTTATTCAGTTCTGTTCTGCTTGGCATGCATAATTATAATTTTACTCTGGAATTGTGTATATGTGCTGATCTCTATCTTAATAAATCTGTCAACTTACAGCAAATGTGTCAGTTATGTGTGGATTACTGTGCTTACTCTTGTGTTTGTATGTGGTCTTTTCTAGGCACATCTGTATTTAGTTTTCAAGATATTATTTTGGCCCAATTCCATATTGATATTCCTAATGTCAGCTCATTATATTCGCTTATACACTGATTTGTTGGCAGAACCAGTCAACCTATTTGATTTTTCATTTTCTACATTCTGGTATTTTAATTCATAATGAAAACTGGCATCATCAGAATTTTAACTCATCGCTTGCTGCTGCAGATGAGGACAGAGCGCTTATGGGGGTGTCCTGAGTGCTATGATGTTGATTCAACATTCAACATTCAATTCATAATGAGTTGGTGACTGGAAATTTAGAATCTGTCAAATGTAGATAAGTTTAAAAAGTTCACATAACCCTTATAACAGACACCAGTGGTGATAAAATAATGATTATTTAAAAATTAAAATGAAAACTTATTGAATGTTTACAAACATATTTATTTTTTAATTTTATTTATTTAAAAAAAAAATACTTATCGGATGTGACCTTATTACATATATGACTGACAGATAACTGATTGTTCCACTGCTTTAATTTGTGAATTACAGTATTTCCTTCTGTCATTTTCTAAGGTTGCATTACATTATTTGTCATTAATTTTCATTTTCAAGGTTAAGAGAAAGACAGAGAGAAAATCTGTCGGTACTGACATACGGCGCAACCAACCAGACAGCCTCTTCGCTTACAGTTGTTATAACAAGCAAAGCAAATGCTGGCCATAATTCTGATGACATGCCCTTCACCTTGGAGACATACATTGTAGCAGTGGCAACATGCTCTGTTGCTTTTGTTCTCTATGCAGTCTTGTTTCTACAAATGGCTGCCATGGCTGGACAGAGACTTCATGACAGGATGCTCAAGAGTGTTATGAATGCTGTGGTGCACTTTTTTGACACTCATTCTGTTGGTATGTCATATATTAAGTAAAAATATATTATAGCAATGTTCTAGGTTTGTATTGCAGTGTAAAATTATATTCACATTTATAAAGTTTTGTTATTATCGAAAAATTCTTGCCAGTGTTTGGTTTGGTTAAAGTTTACTTTGTAAAGTGTGTATTTTTCAGTTAAGGATCACTTTTAATTGGAAGTTTTTGTTGTTGCTGCAAATCCTAGATGTGACTTTAAAATGTCTTTTGTAATTGTTCCACTTTGAAACTTTTACAAAAGGAATAAAATAATGAAATGTAAATCTTTAATTTTAAAAGGTACTGTACAGCTGCTTTACTTTTATGTTTATTTTTGTTTCGTTTTTTTCTAGGGCAAGTTTTGAACAGATTTTCAAGAGATCTTGGTTTTATTGACAACTCTGTTTCAGTACTTGGTTACGTAGTTTCAATGGTAAAGAATTGCTTTTGTTGTTTTAAAAGACAGTTTTAATTATTTTTTACTGGTGTCTTTTAATTTGTTCTTCATTCTAGTTATTTATTTGATTTGTTTTAATACTTAATGGTTTTTCTTATATGTGTTATATTCTTATTTCTTAGAAATGTGATAGTGGCCTTTGTGTATGTATTAAATGATATAAAATTAACATTACATACTTGATTACAGACACATTCACGCACACACAATAATTTGAACACACACACGCATGCGCGCGCAACCAGAAAACAACATTCCAGTTTATTATAAGTAAAACCAAATTTTGAAATATTTCGCTAATTGTTAATATATAGCTAGTCTTAATTAGAAGAAATTATCCCAAAGGCACAGATATTAGGCTGGTGTACTCTGTATTAATCACATATCCTTTTTCTGTTGCCAAAATATAGACATGTGTAGATATGTTAGCAGTAAAAGGCAAAAGTAAATGAACACCGGAGTTAGAGAAAGGCAAAAGTAAATGAACACCAGAGTTAGAGTAAGTCCAGAATTTTTGTATTTAAAAAATGAAAGGGTAAGTGGGAAAAATGATAATAGATATATCTTCTAGATCAAACCAGCATTGTTTTTTTTTTTTAGAGTCTTGTCTAATGGTGCCCTAATGATAATTCAGTAGTTGTTACTAAGAGATTTCAGAGAATTGTAAAATTCCTAACTAAGTGGAACGACAATTGTGCCAGTTATAAGTATAATGAAAGGAAGTATTTTTCTGTTAACATCTTTAATAAAAAAAGTACAGGACGCAATATCTATGTAAGCAAACTGTATTAAAGATTGACATTTGGCGCTAGATATTTTCTCGTATGGCTTGGTAACTCTGTAGAGTAGATATCCATCCCCCAAGAGGATCACACGAAGCATGAATTTTTATAACAGCAGAAATAATCTACAAGGAGCTGTGCACTTTAAAACCAAAGTACAAAGCCTAAAAGTCAGCCCATGACACTCAGAGCACAAAGCAGACTGCTTAATTACTTCACCACAGAAACCCATACAAATATTGAAAATCCTGTTTGTTTATACACCTTTATACATTTTCTTTCCTTGTTCCCGTTTGCCCAACCAAAATAATAGTAACTTTATCTTGTCAATACTAATACATTTTGCCATTTACTATATTTGCAGTTTGTTGCTGTCGTAATATTCACTCTTTTTTTTTTTTTTGGTCACAGAAAACCATGCAGTACCTGGGATTCTTTCTTGTCACAGTGATTGCTAATCCCTGGCTGACCATTGCAATTGTTCCTCTTCTGGTTTTCATTGTGCTGATATGGCTGTATGCATTGCGAACTCTTCGACAGATCAAAAGGCTGGAAGCTAAGGGTAATGTTATCTTATGCTTTAGAGCACATTTGATTGTCTGTATAGAAAACTGTCAGCTACAATATAGTAATTGAATAATTTTTAGAGAACAGGTCACTGCAGACACAGCCATATATCAGCATTAACAGGACTGTGTTACAAGTGGACGTGACCAGATTTAGTCTTCACGGAGCAACAAGTTTAAGCGTTAAAGCTCAGTGTCTTAGAAAATGAAGTATTTTTGAGTGCATTAAATATCACAGTAGTTATTAGATGGATTAGTACTATGTCATAGTTTCTTGATGAATCTCCTTATGCAATGGCCTTTAAAAGGGCAGTTGGCACATCATGCTGTGATTTACAGTTAGGCTGGGATGTCTGCCCCTTTCAGCCCAACACATCCAACTTCAGCAAACCCTGAATTAGTTGCCTTTTATGACATGCTTGTTATGGGGCATTGGGTCTATTCTTCATGGCAAACTGATAAATGCTTTGTACTATGCCAATGGAAATCACACAAAATGTTCTTCTGTTCCATATGAAAACTAACAAAAAACAGATAGTTCCTGTGAAATCTAGAAGCTCACACATGCAAAGTAAATGCATATGACAGCCACCAGATCTGCCCATACTAATAGTCTCCCACCAGAACTGCAGCTCATTGTTGATGGAAACAATCTTGACAAGCCAACATTGCTCATGCAGTACTGCATAAAGCACACAGTAGGTCAAATGTAACTCAACATTTCTAGTTAGCTAGTTAGCTGGGTTATCATCATTGCTCTCTGGACAGATCCTCCCCTCAGTGTGAACCCAACTTCCAGTGGCTAATAGTACCAGTTCTATGTGGATTAACAAGTTCTCTGATGTCCCTGGTTTGCATCTCGTTTTTGTTTGCTATGCCGATCTCAGCTCCCAAGTCTATCATTCTAGCGTGTGATGTGAATTTTCTGCCCCTCAAGTCATCCACCCTTCCAATTTCTCCCATTTTTAGTTAAGTTTACAACAGAACACAGGCACAGATGAAAGAAACATTCCACATGAAATCCACAGCTCACAACAAGCACTCAGCTCAGTATCTAGTTAATGGAACCGTTAAACCGATAGGCCAGAAGTAGAGAAATTGCAATAGCAAACCATGGCCAGAAGCAAATGGCTCTTCAGTATTTCAGTGATCAGCTGACCCATACCTCATAGCGAACTGAATGGTGCTTTTTGCTTTTGAGGTGGAGAACAGGTCCTTGCATTATTCAAAGGCAGATATATTTGCATGGAACTAGGGAATAGCTCATTGGTAAGGAAAATACCTTTTGAGTTAGTTTTACTTGTTAAAAAGTAGTTGAACTAGTTGTGCTGATGTCATTGCTGGCCACCATCTATTGTGTGTACTATACTCATAATTCAGCTGGTTTAATAGTCGTGTTCAACCTGTATTACAGCATGGTTATTATTGAGGTGATCAACTAAATGTTAATTATCATTTATGTGTCATCTCCATGTCGGTTTCGGGCCCCGTTGTGGGGAAAACAAGAATAGACCCCTGACCTCTCCAACAAGCATGTTGTAAGGGTCGACTAGCTTGGTGCCTCCTTTGAAGTCAGAGTACATCTACCTGAGAGGCAAATAACCAACAATCTGGTTACAAATAGGTCAGATCTATAAAACAGATGTGCACACAACACTCAAATTCTGAAGTCCAAAGGTGAATGAACAACCCGAACTTTCCACGGGAATTTACAGCCGGTGAATGTGAAGAAGAAAAAGATTTATTTATCACATAATTCCTAATTCCTAGTAATTAACTGCATTTCCTACATCACAGCTCGCAGCCCAGTCTACTCTCACATGTCTGACACAATACTGGGACTTGAAACCATAAGAGCTTTAGGAAAGAAGGACCAGTTCCTTGCAGAATTTGATGAGCATCAGAACAACCATACAGCAGCATGGTTCCTTTACCTCAGCTCGTACCGGTGGATGTCAGTGAGGTCATTGGCTGTTATTGTGCTCTACATGATTATCATCATATTTGTTTCTCTTGGACTCAAGGAAAGTGAGTGCCACAAAGTATATGTCTTTCTTCTTGTGTACATGACAATTTTTTTCCTTTATTGTAACTAGAATAGCTCTGTGGCTAAGTCGATGCGAACGCTTCGTAATGCCGGGGTGCCGGGTTCGATCCCAGCTGCGGGCCTTGCGCCTTGCATTGGTTTTGACACTGGTTTTAGGGGGCCGATCGTCCAGCAAGCAATGGCAAACTACTGGACGTAAATTTGCCTAGAGAAACCACACAACAGCCAGGGGCTGCTGGGGTTGATTCTGCAACGTCCTGTAAAGGAAACACAACTAACCTTGTAACTAGAACAAAAATAATATACCTAGAAAATGAGAATGCCTTCACAACATCAAAAGGCTTCACAATTTGTGATATAGAATTTAGGAACATGTATTGGCAGTAGATTGTGAATTCAGAAATTGAGATACTATTACATTTTATAATCAACCATTAACAGATTCTAAGACTGACGGTTAAACAGTGTTACTATAAGAGAAGGCTATCATACAAGGCTGTTTATCGTTTATCAGAATATATTATTTTTGCCTGTATACATTTTGGCTGTTATCTGTGAAGTTTAATTAAATATTAATTATCTGGACTTGTTTTAAAGCACACAATAATTTGGTTAAGCCATTTATGTTTTTAAATCATGTTTGTGAAAATAACTGTACAGTATGAGCGTATCTGTGTGTATCTTTCTCATTCTTTTCCTCTCCCCTTTTGTTACTTCTTTTTTATGTATATGTGTATGCGTGTGGGTTTCAGCTGAATAACTGTTGCATATGATTCGTGTTTTGTTTTGCTATAGAAATTTTCTGCTAATGTTCAAATTCTGCAAATGTTTCAGCATTAGATGGAAACCTTTTGGCTTTGTCACTGATTTACTGTATTTCTATGGCGGAGCCCTTTGAGTTCTACACAAGAGCAGCAGCTGATTTGGAGACTTATGTAAGATTGTAACATTTGTCAGACATTTATAGATAATGTAATTGTTCTTGTGTTGTTTTGTCAAATCAGTGGAGGATGATTTGATTATTCTTGTGACCTTTTATGTGATCATGGTCATATCAGTGGATAATGACGTGATAATTCTTGTGACCTTTTATTTAACCATGGTCATATCAGTGGATAATGATGTGATTATTCTTGTAACCTTTTATGGGATCATGGTCATATCAGTGGATAATGATGTGATTATTCTTGTGACCTTTTATGGGATCATGGTCATATCAGTGGATAATGATGTGATTATTCTTGTGACCTTTTATTTAATCATGGTCAGATCAGTGGATAATGATGTGATTATTCTTGTGACCTTTTATGGGATCATGGTCATATCAGTGGATAATGATGTGATTATTCTTGTGACCTTTTATGGGAACATGGTCATATCAGTGGATAATGATGTGATTATTCTTGTGACCTTTTATTTAATCATGATCATATCAGTGGATAATGATGTGATTATTCTTGTGACCTTTTATTTGATCATGGTCATATCAGTAGATAATGATGTGATTATTCTTGTCAACTTTTATTTATTCATGGTCATATGAATGAATGATGATGTGATTATTTGTGTGTTCTTTTATATAATCATTATCAGATCAGTAGATAATGATGTGATTAATCTTGTGACTTTTTATGTAATCATGGTCATATCAGTGGATAATGATGTGATTATTTGTGTGTTCTTTTATATAATCATTATCAGATCAATGGATAATGATGTGATTGTTCTTGTGATCTTTTATGTTATCATGGACATATCAGTGGATAATGATGTGATTATTCTTGTGACCTTTTATGAAATCATGATCATATCAGTGGATAATGATGTGATTATTCTTGTGACCTTTTATGTAATCATGGTCACATCAGTGGCTAATGATGTGATTATTCTTGTGACCTTTTATGTAATCATGATCATATCAGGATAATGATGTGATTATTCTTGTGACCTTTTATGTAATCATGGTCATATCAGTGGATAATGATGTGATTATTCTTGTGACTTTTTATTTATTCATGGTCAGATCAGTGAATAATGATGTGATTATTCTTGTGACCTTTTATTTAATGATGGTCAGATCAGTGAATAATGATGTGATTATTCTTGTGACCTTTTATGTAATCATGGTCATATCAGTGAATAATGATGTGATTATTCTTGTGACTTTTTATTTATTCATGGTCATATCAGGATGATGATGTGATTATTCTTGTGTTGTTTTATATAATCATTGTCAGGTCAATGAATGATGATGTGATTATTTGTGTGTTTTATAAAATCATTGTCAGATTAATGGATGATGATGTGATTATTCGTGTTTGTTTGATATAATCATTGTCAGATCAATGGATGATGATGTGATTATTCTTGTATTTTTTATATTGGGTGTTTCACTCGTGGCCGAACCCAGTAGTTTGTTCATAACTCAAACACTTATAGAAATATGGCAACAAAATTTAGACATCATTTAGACATTCGAGCAGTGACACCTAACTTACTGAGGTGGACTTTCCACAAAAGGGAATGCTTTTTCCAATGCTGCCTGGTCACAAGTGGTAGCCATTTCCAGCACCTGTTATGTTTATGTAGTGAATCCTATTTCTCTAGCTCTTCTAGCTTGTCATTACTCCATTCTTTAGATCTTCTTGCTGTGAAACCTTGGTGTAAAACTGAACATATAAAACTCAAAGTTGTTATTGCTGTTACCATTGTTTCTTTCGCAACAAGGGAGTTGTGTGTTCTTCTTGGATTTGGTGTGCTTTTTTCTTTCTTTCTAATAAAGGTGCTGATTTTCTGAGTTGGTCCAGTATTCCAAACAATAAAAAGCCAATTGTTGAAGGAGACTGTTAGGTTTAACTAATAGGGTATTATATTGTTGATAACCGGGAAGGCCAGGTTTAACTTATAGGGTATTATATAGTTGATAACCGGGAAGGCCAGGTTTAACTTATAGAGTATTATATAGTTGATAACCGGGAAGGCCAGGTTTAACTTATAGAGTATTATATAGTTGATAACCGGGAAGGCCAGGTTTAACTTATAGGGTATTATATAGGTGATAACCGGGAAGGCTAACCCAGTCAACAAATGCCTGCAGAAGTCGGATGTGTTGGCCGAAAGGTGCAAATATCCCAGCCATGCTGTAAACGGACACAACACAATTACATCTTTGGAAGAACGCAGAAGAAGTAGAATATAGTTGATAGATTTGTACATGTTATTTATTAGAACATTAATTATTTTAATAAAAGCTGTTTCATTGAGCACATACTTATATAATTCGTTGGTGTCTGTGGCTTAGGAGTTGCAAATGTGCTTCATAATGCCGAGGTGCAGGTTTGGATCACAGCTATGGACTGTTTGTCTTGTGTTGGTTTCGACAGTGGTATTAAGAACTGACTGTTCAGAAGCAGTAGCAAACTACTGAATGTAATATTTGCCTAGAAAAACCACAACAGCCAAAAATGCTGGGATTGGTTCTGCAACGTCCGTCCTGTAAAGGATATGCAAATAACTTATATATTTCATGGGTTTTATTCAGTTTGTTTGTCTAGCTAGTATTTACCTTAAAGAAACTATTTATTTTCATCTTTCTTTAGATGACATCAGTAGAACGAGTTCTAGAGTATAGTAATTTGGAACAAGAACCACCAAAAACCTCAGACAAGCCTCCATCGCCAGACTGGCCAAATAGAGGAGCTATCACCTTCAACAAGATATCACTGCAGTATTCCCCGGGAGCTCCCTTAACATTGAAGAATATAGAATGTCACATTCAAGGCAAAGAAAAGGTAGCAAGTACATGTTTGCTTTGGTGAAGTGGAAGATTTAACCTTACTTTTATGTTTTGTTAAAAACAGAAGAATTATGTAGTACAAGGTGCCAACCGCCCTCTCAAGGGCGAACAAATATTACCCGTGACATGAACATTGAGCAACAAGTCGCCGCCATCGCAGGCTAGCTGTAAACCCTAAAATCGAACGGAAAAAAGCGTAGATATTGCAGCCTAGCTATAAACCACAACAAAACGTGGCAGCCACCCAGTTAGGGCCCCCCCCCGCCCCCACCAAAAAAAAAAACAATTTATATTACTCAGTGGGGAATCGAACCCCTATCACCCGAGTAAAATGAGAAATGCTTACAACTAACTACGCTACGATACACACAAGCACTTAGTAGAAATGAAAGTATATACTATGTGAAGTTCGGCGTTACACAGTCAAAGGTGGCAAATTGATTAAAATTAAATCCGGGCAGACAACGAAACAAATAATGTTTAGACTGTTGCTGGAGCTACGTCATTCGGGATTTGTGCGATTTTATGACAAAAAATGACGCTTTGAGTCAGAGGCAACTTTGTGTGCAAATTTGAAAGCAATCGGTTCAGTAGTTTCCGACTTTAGACCTAACGACATCGGAAAATTAACATTTTTATTTTTATATTAAATGATGGGAAAGCCCATTCACCTTAAAACTGTCGATAAACCAGATTGTAAATTGATTGGTTGAGTTGTAAGGCATTCTTGTAAGCAATTTGAACACTTTCACTCATAACAAATTTAAACAAAATATGTTCCTTTCAGTAGGTTTATTTTTTTTTTTTTTTTAAATACATGTTTTTGTTTTTGTTTGTTTAAAAAAAAAACTTTTTCAATCCTAGAATATATTTTTTAACCAGAGCTGCAATCACATAGAAAAATCTTAGAGATTACTTTCACAGATTACTAAGCGAATAAAAGAAGCAGAAATTTAACAGATTAAGCATGTATAAGTTTCTTTAAAACATGGTGTTGCATGTTAGAATAAATGGCCATATTTTGTATTAACATATTCTGACCAAACGTGCAAACTGATTATACATACTAAATTACTTAGGACACACACACAAACGTTAATTGTAGAAATATGAGTTTTGCACCAAAGAGTCAACTGTTATTTCAAACTTGATATTATTTTTATAGATTGGCATTGTTGGAAGAACTGGTTCTAAAACGTTAACTATAATAATTTCCAACTTGATATTTTTTAATAGATTGGCATTGTTGGAAGAACTGGTTCCGGCAAAAGTTCCCTTATTACATCATTATTCCGACTTGTGAAGCCAACTGGTGCAATTTACATTGATGGTGTTGACATAGGCAAGCTTGGACTGTATGAGCTGCGCAGTAGGATTTCTGTGATCCCTCAAGACCCTGTTCTGTTCAGCCAAACGCTGAGATGGAACCTGGATCCACTGAATGAATACAGTGATGAACGGCTGTGGAATGCTCTGGAGCAGGTATGTTTTATCTATGTTAATATTGTCTTTTTGCATCAGCGTCTGTGGGTGTTGCTTTGGAATTCTGAAATATCTGGATTGATTTCAGCTTCAGGCTGTTTGGCAGTAGACTGCTTTGCACTGATTTTTGAAAACTGTTTTGATTATTCAGTGATCAGAATAATTTACTTTTAATTTTGAAATAAATTACTTTTAAAATCATGAGTACATTACTTTAACATTGGCCATAAAATACGGTGGGAGTGTTACATGGAAAGCCAGATATTTTTTAGTGTCAAATGCTTAATGTAAAAGAACACATTACATAATGGCTGGGATTCACAGGGAAAAGATAATATCACACACCATGTGTTACTTGGTTTTGGAGTTGTTAACCCTTGTTGAGATTTCATGCAGTTCATTTGTTTTCTGGAACACATTGCTCCTTAGCTTTTGTTATTTTTATCTTCTTCTGCCTTCACTCTTTAAAGTGATTTAGTGATGTTGTGGTTTACTGCTATTATATCTGTACTTATTTTGGCCCAGTACATCTGATTTAAGGGGTCACTACACCAAAAAATTTTATTTTTTTATTTACAGAGCTAGAGCAGTTATTTTATAATGATCATTTGTAGGAATACATGTTATTAGATTTGTATACTTTAAGTGTTTAAAAAATCATAGTTGTCATGGCAATAGCCGCCATCTTGTAAAAAAAAACAATATTTACTTAGAATCCTAAAATTTTAAAAACAAACATAGTTATTCAACAATAGGCGATGGATTTATTACTATTTATTCTATTTAGAGGTACAGGTCTAGTTTATTTACTTTAAACATGTTTTTAAATATTTTTCTTAGAATTTTAAAGTGTAGGTTTATTGAAAAAGTCAAAAAAATCTAGCATCATAAGACAATAATCGAATTTTAAAAAACTAAACTTTCTAAAATCTGTACAGGGCACCATCTCAAGGCTGGGTTGACCTGGAGGCCAAGGTCATTTTTGTAAAAAGTCTGCCACCTGTCAGTACCTGAACCCCCGAACTTTCAGTCTGCAGCTGAGCATCTAGCCACTAGACCACGGCGGCTCTCTTAGTAAAATATTACATTTATTTTAACCTTGTGTTATTTAGAACATTTAATTTCCTCTCAGTTTGGCATTTTGGACAGACAGTGCTAACAGTCGCGATGACTGGAGAGATTCCTGGTAGAAGAGGCAGAGGCGGACCAAGAGAAGTGATGATGGATGGCTTAAGACAGTGGCATGGAGGAATATTCATCACTGAAATTGATTGAGAACACCAAAGACCCAGATCTGTGGAGATGCATGAATGCCTAGGCCAGCTGGCAAAGCACTAGTTGATGATGAATGCTAGCACCATATTTATTTTTAAAGATAATTGGCACGGTATGTTTCATGCTGGCTGTCTTTACTTCCCAAGACATAATCTGCTACCCATTTTAGACTGAATCAACCTGGAAGCTAAGATTAATTTTTAAAATCTGCCTCTTATTTGGATTCAACCAAAAGACAACAGGGATGGCGTGCAGTCTACCACAGCTAGCCTTTCTTTATCTGTTATTGTGTAAGCTCCATTTATTTGTAGTTTGTGACTTTTTTTCTGTTTGAAGAACTGACACCATCATTCAAAGAACCCTGAGAGCAAAGTTTAGAGACAGTACAGTTTTGACCATTGCCCATCGATTGTATACTGTGATGGATTGCGATAGAATTATGGTGAGCAACTTCAGTTTGCATTAATGTTTGTTTGAAAATGCCTTTAACTTGTCTGAAAATTTGCTTCTGAATCTTGTGAAGCATCGCTTTCATTGCACATGGTTATCTTCATAATTGCTCAAGTCTCCTTCCTATAGATTACAGAAAATAGAATATCAGCACAGTGCATGAAATGCCTACCACTGGTGATGATTATTCAAATGTGGGTATACTGGTACGGCTCTGTGACTTAAGAGGTTATTCAGTGAGTTCACAAATGTCATCCTTGAGTCCTCAAGTTTTATTTCCCTGGTGGACTGTTTATTTTTATTGTGTAAAAACCCCATGAGGTTGTCGTTTTGTTACAGTGGTGCAAGAGTCACTCTGTGGAAGAGATTAGGGCTTCACCATGTGATATTCCCAAAGACAGCAGTTTGTACACTGTGGCCAACCTTCATTGTGGAAACAGCAATTAATTTTTGTTTTAAATTCCATAATCACCTGTGCTGAATTTTGAATTAAGAAACAACATCACAGCACTTGTGACACTCGACTTTTATTTTCAATCTGAAGCTGTCAAGGAATTGTTAACATTCACATATATGCATGCGTCCTCACAGTTTTTCACACTTTTTTGAAAAAAGACACTCCTCCACAAACATATACCATTAAAAAATATTTTAAATAAAACAGTTCAGGCTAGGAAACCAACAAGGTCTGCATGGGCCAAAGATGAGGCAGATAGCATAATCTATAACACCCCCTCCCCTTTTATTTACACCCACTCACCATCTCTTGTCTGACTGTCTCCCTTCCTCCCCCTCTCTTTCTGATGAAATGTTTTCAAATTAGTGGTATTTTCATATTTTGTTAGAGTATTTATAGTTAGTCGGCTCTGTGGCTAAGTCGATGTGAACGATTGGTAATGTTGGGATGCCGGGTTCGATCCAAGTTGTGGGCCGAGCGCCTTGCATTGGTTTCGACAGTGGTATCAAGAAAGTCGACCATCCAGAAAGCAATGGCAAACTACTGAACGTAAATTTGCCTAAAAAAACCACACAACAGCCAGGGGCTGTTGGGGTTGGTTCTGCAACGTTCTGTAAAGGATACACGACTAACCTTGAAATTTATAGTTATCTTTTACTGTATTTATGACGATTTGTTACTGGCGGTTGTTTTGCAAATATCTAAACTCTGAGGTAGGAATAGCATTAACTACTAGTGTCCCCTTGAGGTTAATTCTGTTGTTTCTGGAACTTTCTTTAAACTGTAGTGTTTCTTGTGAACTATTCAGGTTCTGGAAGATGGAGAGTTAAAAGAGTTTGACACTCCTTACAATTTGCTGCAGAACTCAGATGGTATCTTTACAAGGCTGGTTCTGAGCACAGGCAAGAACAGTGCCAGGCAGTTACAGGTGAGCCAGGATGTTGTAGTCATGTTGTTATTAACCCTTTCTGTACCAGGTGTGTGGGTGTCCCAGTCAGTCTGCGTGCTGATAAACTGATGCTGATAAGAAAAATTCTACATTGTAATAAACTTATATTTATACCAACAGTATCATGTTTTATCCTTGTGAGTTGCAGTTAGAAAATGTAATTTTGCTGTTTCTTATAGCAATAGTTTGTATGTTTTACTTTTGCTGTTTTATATCATATTGATTATATGATTTCTTTGGGATATATATATATATATATATATATATATATATATATATATATATATATATATATATATATATATATATATATATATATATATATATATATATATATATATATATATATATATATATATATATATATATATATATATATATATATATATATATATATATATATATATATATATATATATATATATATATATATATATATATATATATATATATATATATATATATATATATATATATATATATTATATATATATATATATATATATATATATATATACACATGCTGCATTGTTAAAACATTACTTTTGAAATAATAAAATAATGCTTACCGCTAATTACTGGCATTATGAGGGTTGCAGTCTGTTCCAAAAGTTGTGCCCAACTTTTGAAATCTGTAAATCAGGAACTGTTTGTGAAAGGTTAAGAAATTTGATGTGCAGCCTGTTAATAATCATGTCCTTGTAGGAAAAAAATGTAAACAAACATATAGTTTTTAGTCTGCCTTATTACTGGTATTTGAAACAACAGACACCGACAGACTCAAAGGACACAGTTAGAATGCTTACAGTAAGTGGATAGGAAACCATCACATTGCACACACAAAAACTAAGGCATGCTTATTTTGAACAGTGAAGTGGATATGTCATGTACTGTCATACTGCTTTGTTGATTGGCTCATAAAAAGTAAATGATCGTCAGTTACTATATTTATTTATTGAAAAAAAAAATTTGTGTAATTTTTTAATGCATTTTTTGAGGTACACAAATTATAAATCTTGCAAAAATGAAAGAAATTCACCACTGTAAGAAAACAGCAGGAACTGTGCAACTGTAAATTATGAAATCATAAGGACGAAGGATATCTTAGACCACATGCAACAAGTCATGTTGATCTGTACAGGAGTTTTCAGGATATTTGGTAAAGTTTGAAGGCACAACTTTTGGAATTGACTATAAAAGACTCAGTGGTTTGGGCATATAGAGAGAATGGCAGATAACAGAAGGACAAAAACTGCTTACATAAAATAGTTGAATTGGAGCAGAGTATGAGACAGACCAAGAAGATGTGGAGAGATAAACAGGCAAACATACAGATACTTGGAGTCACCAACTAGAAAGAGAAGGCCAGTGACAGATATTAATAGAGGCGGTTAATATCTGCAGCAGTGAACCCCAAGGGTTCAGAATGCTAAAGAAGAAGAAGAAGGTAATGCTGCATAGTGATTGATCATGTAGTCATCATATGCAGGCCAGCCATCTTCACACTACCCTCTAACACAGTGTTTACAGATGTATTCAGGTTTGCATGAATGAAAACAATACTGATTGGCTGGAGATTCTTTTGGTTCCCTCCAGGCACTTGCTGAACTTTCACAGCACCAGAGAACATCAGCAAGTCTGCAGCTACACCGAGCAATGTTGTTAGCAAACGAACAGCTGGCCCAGAGCACAGAGGACTTGAGTTCAAACAAAGCTGTTCTCAGCTGGAATAGGTTTACTCACAGCCAGGACTCACTAGAAAAGGTTACATTTTGTGGTCTTTCTCTTTTGTTTTATTAATTAAGATCTTCATTTGATATTTTGAAAACTTAAATAATTTATGTGCCATATCTTCACAATATAAGAAAACATTTATCGGAAGTCTGGTTTTACAAATGAAATATGAGATTACCCTGGAAAGATAAAAAGAGAAATGAAGATATCTTGAAAGAAACTGAATCACAAAGGGAACAGATTGCCCACACAAGAAGGAGGGAATCTATATTATCTGGTCAGGTCTTGAGAAGGAGAGACTGGAGTTTGTTGTAATGACTGAAAGGTTGCGTCATGGCATGGAAGATCATCTGTGTCAGCACTCAGTAAAAGTACATGAGACAGAAGGTGGTGAATAGACCTGAATGCCAATGCCACATGACATGAACTAGAAGAAGAAGAAGATCTCCACAGTAAAGGTTGTTTACAGTGGATGTGTGCATCCTCTGCTTCTTCCTCTTCTTTGTTATACTCCTGGAATGCCTCACGGCACAGGGCAGGAAGAGAACCAGCGTCATTGCACACGGTTATAAACCATAAGTGCTCTGCCACCAGTACGGACAGCTGATGAGAATTGTCTGCCTGTGTCGCCGTCCACACGTAACTCTGTGGCTTCAGCGACGTTTCTCCATTTACCCCAGAGTATCAACTCTGGTACCCATTTCCTAAAGGCTGGGTGAACCACCGGAGTCACCTGGATTCGAACACCGACCGTGGACTGCAGTGAGTCGCAGCTGGATTTGAAAGTGAGCCTCTTATCGACTGCGCTAACGCAATCTTGTTACACGGCCAAACCATTTGATTGTTGTCTACTTATAAAGTTTAGTATTGGTTCTGTGCCGACTCTCCTCCTGATATCATCATTCCCTAGTCGAACTTTCCTTGTTACACCTAGCATAGTATGTAAACATTTCATTTCTGTCCCCTGCATCTCATTAAAAATATTACACAATGAGGACCCTGGCTCTTCCATGGTGTGTCTCTCATACTACTGCCAGAAAGCCACAAAACAATCCTTATATTTTGTTTATTCTTCTGCATTAGCCCTTAAAAGGGCGGTTAACATATTATTTTGTGGTTTACAGCTAGGCGGCAATATCTGCACACAAAAGATCTAATTTCAGTAAACCCCTTACTAGTTGCCTATCACAGTTTGTCAAGTGGGTCTATTCTATTTATCCAAACTTGACATTGGAACGCATATAGGGAACATTTGTTTGCAAGTATATGTTGTATAGTTTATGGTATAGACAATTCTCATCTGTATTTTTTGTAGCTTTTGGTGTGTACAGGTCTCACTTGTCAGGCAGTTATGTCTCTAATGACTTTGATGTAAACCTGGTCTTTGTCTGGCAGTGATGTATAGCAAGGTGTATTATTTTAATCTAAGAAAGAAAAAAGTAGTATAGAAGAAAAACTAATAATTGTACTTTATTATCCTTTAGACCAGCAAACAGAAGTCTAGCCATTGCACTACCAAAGCTCCCCTTTTCACATTTGGGGGTTAATTTATTCTTGCACTTCTTTGTCTGTAATAAATGTTCTATTTCCTTAAGAATGTGCATTTACTAACTTCAGTTTTATTTCTATTGATTTGTTGTGTAAGTAACATTGTTAAGTAACATGTTTAGTTACTTAATCTTCATTATCAGTGGTAAGAAATTGTTATATTCAGTGTGTCAGTTTTACTAATTATTATTTACTGCTTTCTGGAATGTGTTCAAAGTCTGTTTAGGAAAAGCTTCTTCTACTCCATTTGCTGCTACATATCTTCCCATCGAATTAACGAGAAAAGTAATAACCTTTGAAGGAAATAATAACAAATTGAATCAATAACTTTAAAAATAGTGGGGGGGGGGGGGGGGGGGGGGGTACAATCAGTAAGATCATATGTAATATCAAAGAAGGCATCACAAAATGTAAATATTAATATAAGTTCCATGTAGAGAATAAACAAGATTATCATGACAATAACTGTTGTGAGGATATACTCTAGGAGCTTTGGAACATTTACTATAGTGATTTCTTTTCCTGAACACTTCAAGTGGTGTTAAGTTATGGTGCCTGTGTTAGTTTTTTGGCTGTTAAATTGTTGTTGCTATCTTCTTATTATTATGAGCATTCACAGGTGTAAATTTCATTGGAAAGTTCTGGTTGTTCGTCCACTGCTGGATATTGGCCTTGTTCCACGACTTGAGGATTGCATACACATCTGTTTCACAGATCTGGCTTATCTGTAGTAGACAGTTGGTTCCACGTCTCTCAAGCAGATGCTGAAGGGAATTTGGATCCTATCTACGTTGACCTGGTTCCCCAGTAGTGGACTGTATCTAGAATGACCACAAAGTGAGGTAGATAAGTCTTGACCAAGCCCCTATCCTAGTGCACCACCACCTACCTCCTCATGCTGTTCAGCACCTCTGCATTCCCTTTTCACTATCGACAGAATGTTTTTAACAGTCTTGACTATAATGATTTTAAAACAACTTAATGTTTCTTTTCAGGCACACATAGAGAATATCATTGAAAAGGAAAAGGAAAAGAAGACAGTAGCTCCGTCTAGAAAAATTATTACTCGGCGCAGCCCTGGTCGAACAAAAAAGACTGTTGATGAAAGGAATGAATTAATCAATTATGATACTCCACCCCGAGCTCACACAGACTCTCACTTGCTGGACAGGAAACAGACGGATGAAAAATTGCGTCATTATGCCAACAGAAGCCAGACTGACAACAAAATACATCCACAGAGTGACAGAGAAGACAGTGAGAGGTCAGAAGATGTTTCTGAAAAGTCACAGACATTTAATCCAGAAAGGAAGATACTCATTGATAGTGATAGAAGCACACAAAGTAAAGTCGACTCTTCTCGTAGACCTGTGACAAAAGGTCAATCAAGTCCCAGCCATAAGAGCTCTGAAAAAAGTAGGGAAAATACAAATCCTCAGCAAAGTAGACCAAAACCAGATGGCTCGCAGAGCAAAGATTTAAACAGTCGAACAGTACAGTCCACTAGAATATTATCTGGTCCCTATGTATCATTAGCTCAAGACGAACTGGAAGAGTTTGTATGAAGTTAACATTCCATGTAATGTGTGTCAATTTATGTCAATGAAATATATGCAGTTGTGTTATGTGTGCATTATGATAATATATAGCAAGATGGATTCTGTTGTCCCATACTTGAGTGATATAAAACTTTAAACAAATATATATATATATATTTATCATCATCAGTAGCATGAGTTTCTACTTTTGATATTAAATGTCATTGGTAGAAACATTTGGTAGACCAGCACTGGATAAGTAGCACTGGCTAAGTTGTTATTCTGCCATAATCATTCCTTTTATCAGTTTTCTGTGTTGGACAAACAGAAATGTCAGCACGCATGATATAAAATACATTTTAACAATATAGTAATTGTAGTATATTACAAATATTTATTCACTGATGTTTACAATTTTTATACTTAATTTAAAAAAAAAAAAATTTGTAAATGGTGCATTAAAAAATAATATTTTTATACTAGTAAATTTATGTCAGTTCTGTTTTCCTTGCAACAGAAAAGCCTAAAGTTTGTCTTACATAACAACAAAAAAGCCTAAAGTTTGTCTTACATAACAATAAAAAAGCCTAAAGTTTGTCTTAAACAACAACAAAAAAGCCTAAAGTTTGTCTTACATAACAACAAAAAAGCCTAAAGTTTGTCTTACTTAACAAAAAAGCCTAAAGTTCGTCTTACACAACAACAACAAAAAACTAAAGTTTGTCTTGCACATCAACAGAAAAGCCTAAATTTTGTCTTACACAACAACAACAAAACCTAAAGTTTGTCTTACACAACAACAGAAAAGCCTAAAGTTTGTCTTACACAACAACAGAAAAGCCGAAAATTAGGTCTTACTGGATGTCCAGCCCTGCTGGTTTGTTGAAATTGATTCCACTGTGTCAAATTTAAATTTCCCCACCCCTCTACCCCCACCTCATGAAACACAGTAACATCGGCACTTAGTGTTATACAGAATTATTACATGGGAATTGACATAACCTGTCAGATACTAAGGGAATAAAAGAGAAAAAACCAATACTGGTATAGCACCATATGTCAGTTCACTAATAACACAAAAAAGGTTAGTCCATACTAACTATTGATGATTAACACATCAGTTGAAACAAAATGCATTTTGTATTTTTTTCACTAGTACTGGAATGGAGCATTTATGGGGATCTCCCGTTTGCTGTGAACTTTTAACCACAACTGATAACTTGCAATGAATTAAAGACCAGCAAAGATGGACACCAGAACTAATTGTATCAGTTAAAATTTCATGTATGGGATAACTTGTAAATAAACAAAATGTTAAGTTTTTGATTTTACCATGTACTACAGCAAGTCTACTTTGATTTTCTTTAAATACTACATTAAGGATAACAGCGAAATTGCAAGGACAGTATGACAGAATATGGAAGTTATCTCAGTTCTCAGGATGACAGCTACCTGTACAAACATGATGACAGTAGTTGTGTATCCTTGCGGTCAAGAGGAAAATATGCATTATTGTTGAGTAGATGTTCTGGATGATATTCAGCATTGAAGGTATATTGACAGACTTTTAATTAGATTGCATCTGGTACTATTAGCATGTCGACTCTTTGTTGGTTGCTAAAGAAGGGGACAGAGCACATGTGGGAATGTCCTGAGTGCAGAGATGTCAATTCTTGATTCTTTCATTCCTTGTGAGTAATAATTGGCATATTTAGTGTCTGGCCTTGGCTCCCAGGTTGACCCAGGATTGAGTGGGGTGGGTGCTGTCCCGGGACCGGGAAGTAAAGGTGGCTGGCATGATGCTGACCACATCACCCATCTTGTGTCATTTGGTCTATAAAATATAGGTCTAGCCCTGTATGCCCTATACGCCTAAAGGCGTGGAAAAGGGTCTTCTTCTTCTTCTTCTTCACTTCCTCTTTTACCGCTGTGGGTGTCGAGGGAGATATAAGGTTCTGTTTCTAGCTCTTTTGGCTGCTTCGACCATAGGCACATCATGCTGTTGTAGAGTTTCTCTGATGTTATCCTTCCATATTGTTCTTGGTCTACCTCATGCTCTACGTCCTTCTTCTCTTTCCATGTATGCTTTGTATGGTATGGTGTCACAAGGCATTCTCTCTAAGTGGGCAAACCATTTCACTTGCTGTCTTTGTATGTAATTTAGAATTGGTTCTGTGCCGACTTTTTCTCTTATGATCTCATTCCTGATCTTATCTCTTATGGAAAAGGTTGGTTTACTTTTTTTTTTAAATAGTGTCGGCCTAGAGGTTAAGAATTTTGAGTCCACACTGAGGTCGGGATCTCTAACACCTTTAGTATCAGAATCTTTGGCAGCAGATTCTCAAAGGAGGAACCACTATAAGAAATTGTGGGTGATTATATTTTAAAATAGGATCTGCTTTGGCGAAGTGGCTAGATGCTTGCCTGCAGATCTGAAGGTCATAGGTTAAAATCCAGATGATGCTAGATTTTTTTTCTTCTTAAAAAAGACATTGGCTCCCAGGTTGACCCAGCCTAAAGTGGATAGCAGGTTAAAGTTCTGGGAAGTAACGGAAGATGGCGTGATGGTACCAACATCACCCACCAAATGTCGATTGGTCTATAAAATATAGGTCTAACTCTATCTACTCAGTACTTCTGAAAAAAAATTAAGTTTTTTTTTTTTTTTTTTTTTTAAATTATATTTTGAAAGGCCACATGTACAGTGGAAGTGAGTACTGTTGAAGCTGAATTTCCCAGATACAGTTTGATCAAATGTAAAAAGTCAGAGATTCACCAGAGATTTACAGGAAATAGCAAACAACACCACACACATTGGTTGGAACTGAAAGAGTTCACATTGAAAAGGACTCCTTGGTTATATCAGCATAGAATAGCTAACAGGCAGTGTTCTGAGAAGTAAATGCAGCTGGCATAACATCAAGAAATATTGGTCTCTAATAATAAGTGGCCTGCACCATACACAGTGTTTGCTTCAGACAGTTGTTTGAGTTCATAACCTTTTAATGAGATTATTTAATGCTTTATAATTTCTGTGCTAATTGTACATAATAATGCAAAATATAATTGTTGTAATGCTTATATGTTAACAGGGAATAATTGTAACAAGAATTGTATCAAGAGAAATTTTTTTCTGTGGGCTCTTACTGTATTCCAGCAGTTAATTGTTACTGTTTTTAAATACTGCCAGTTTTAGATATTATACTTGGATGTGAATGAATGTACCAAGATTTTATATTGTGTAATTTTAAATGATCTTTGTTTATTTATTACTTAAGTAACATGTTCTGTTTAATTTTAATATCTTTGTCTTTCTTTTATCCCCTGAATCCTTATGACTAACAGATTTTAATAAGACAGGATTAGGATTAAGGAAAGAATGTCAAAGGATACGTTTTAACCCCTTAAGAGAGTTTGATGGACATATCCATCTTGCCCAATTCTAGTTCAGTGGGTGTGATGGAAATATATTTTTGCAACTATCTACAACCCATCTGTAGCAGTGTCTGTAGTAGGTAAGACAAGCTACATGCTGTTGTGATACTGGACGTGACCTTGTTCCTAAACCAGTCACCAGTTCAAAATGCCAGCCAAAAATGTATACTTGATGTCACTCAATGTTTGAGAGTAAACCAGACAGAAACTGGTTGTCTTAGCTAACAGTGAGGTGACTTTCTATACATACTATCCTTAGCATTAATCGTGTTGCCTTCGGAAACTGATAGTCATGTTTTAATATTTAACATGTAGTGCTGGACAGTATTCTACAGAAAACCAAAGAGAAACCACACAGCTGCCTTTTAAAAAGAAAGCAGTGAGTGCTTGTTTATGTTCTTTGTCAATATGACATGGGCTTTGACATGGGCTTTGTGTTGCTCCATAACTTTTCTTCTGTAATATTAATCATTATCTCATATGCTTATATCATTGCATACCAGGTGTAGTCAGATTGTCTTTTCTTGTAGTGTAGTGAAGCTCTTTCCTTTTTAGTATAGCCAATTTTGTGGGTGCAAATGTAGACCTGAAACTGCAAGCTCTAATTGTGAAAGACTTCTCAGTGCATGCAGGTCTTGCTAGTCACACTCGCCATTGCCACGGTCTAGGATTCCCATGCCACCATACAGCACAGTGTAAACTATTGTCTGTAAGGAGAGGTGCCAACAAATGAAGTGTAACCAAGGTTTCTTTTCTTGTAGGGTAAACCAAGGCCTCATTTCTAGTGATGTAGCCAGATATTATCTTGTGAGGTTGCTAAGAAGTGTTGGCTGTTTCCTTTAAGCTTTGCCGCTTTCAAAACATTTAGGTTACTCTTTTTGGTTGTCTGCTGTATTTTTACGTCAGTGTGATTATTTTCTTCTTGTGACTCTTTCTGATAATTAAATTGTCATACAATCTCTTACAAGCTTGAACAAGTTTTTAGTTCCAAGCAGCTTGGAATCTTAAAGTTGATTTGGTGGGTCGTTAAATCTTACTAAACTCTTCGTACTGAGAACAGTATTGCATCACAAGTTTAGCTTTCAGTTTTCTTAGTCTACAGGTGTATATTGGTGAAGTAGACAGACTTTCCGTTTTTACATTTCTGTGTGTTTTGTTTTAATTCTGTAAATTAATGTGAAATTCTCGTTCTGCCTTTACCTATCTTGAAGCCATAATAGGGTATTTATGTTTCCTTCCTTCTTCTTGATGATCTCAAAATGGAAATATTATCACCAGAAACAATCTATTAGTATATGTCTTGGTTAGCTTGTTAACAGTCTTAAATTATTGAAGCCCTGTTTGGTAAAATATTCATCATTTATGTATGATTGATATATTATTTAGTAGCTTCTCTTGTTACAAACTGGTTACAAACTATTCAGTGTCCAGCCACAGGTAAACATAATCATATCAATTAAATATGTGAGCAAGAAGCGCTGTGATAATGTGTGTTGAAAGATGTGTACGGGACATCACTGCATTTTGGTGATGGAGGATTAGATTTAACTTTTGGCGGCTAAAATAAGCATGATGTGTATTATATGGTCAAT